ACTCTTTACCCTGATCAGCTCTCCCTTCCCAGGTTTTGAGCTATATTCTTTATAGATTTTGAAGCAGGTTCCAAAAAACCATTGCCGATCAGGAATATATATGATTTATAAGGTCTGAAATGACTCCCTCTCCGCTTAGCAAACTTTGAACTTAAACTATAATGAAATCTCCACTCAATTAAAGATAAACCCTGACATTTTAATTGTCACCATTTATAGTCACTTCATTTCTTTTTCCCATCCGGGATTTCAGATGCAACATTGTGGCCCTTTTTGTTGATAATTCCCTTATAATTATGCATTATTTTTTCGGTTTATCGAACGGAAGCGCCCTGATATGTTTGCTGATGCTGAATGAGAGAAAGACTTGGGGTGAGTGAACCCATTGAAATGGGTGGGGGAAATATCATCCCATCGGCAGAAAATCAGAGAAGCAAGAAGCCCACAAGAGCATATCAATTATTTGTATTGTGAGGCGAGGCGAGGCAATGAAGGAAGCAAGTGCAGTCACGACGACAGACGGGCGCCTCCGTAAATATTTCCTCCAGAGTCCCCAGAGTTCCAAGATACCCCGAACCGATACCCCGAGATCTCGAAATGCCATGCCCATTTGCATTGATAATGCCACAAGTCGAAGGAGTTAACCCGGGCCCATTGATATATGGCCCGTAAGTGAGTTTGAAAAGGCGGCAGTGTGAATCACAAGTAGTTGGGAATATATATATATATTTATACACAGGGACTTGGACTCGGAGTTGGACTCGGACTTGGACTGGCACTGGTGGCCAGAGACGGAGAGAGAGGGTTAAGTCAGGGCGTGCCGTTGAAAGCGAAACCAGTCAACAAGAAAAGCTGGGGGGAAAAAAAAGGAGTAACGTGGAGGAACAACACAATATGGGGACATGACTCAGCAGCAACAGATACCCGGGGCAACATACAAAAATAAAAAGCACCAAAAAAGAGATTATTTTACATATATTTTTATAAAAGAAACCCAGAAAACTTGTACAAAACTAACAAAGAATCCAAGCAGAACCATGCCCCAAAGGGATTATGTTCATTACTTCAAATCGGACTATAGAAAGTCGAAATTAAATGGTTCTGATTATAAATAAAATAATAAAATGAAAAAGGAAACTGTACCAACAGATTACCAAAGAACTCTTGTAAGTCATTTCAAACTAAGAAGTAATTAACATGAATCTTAGTTAAAGGGAAATGTTCTTATCGAGTTTATATAGGGGTAGCCTTTACTCTTCATTTAATTTTATAAATTTGAGATAACAAACTTAAACAGAAATATACCATATAATCGAACAAAGAAAATTGAGTTTTATACTACATATATATCTGAGAAGGAGTTGTATTCGCAGAGTGAATATTTCCACAGGCTGGATGGATATATAAATAGCTTATCCACTGGCTCTGCATTCCGTTCAACCCTAGACATATATCCCCCCAACCCTCGACATTGTACATATATCCCAGTCGTAAAGTGCGTAAAGTGCGTTCAAGGACAAGCGACAGCTGCAATTGATGACAGATAGAATTGGGGGATGGGGATGTAATTGGGAGTGAGAAGTGAGCACAAGATGGGGGTGTAATGCGAGCATATGCAGCCAAAATCCGCAGACAAGTACATAAACATACACCACATAGCTTATATATACAATTGAAGTCAAGAATATGGCACTGTTTTAAGTTTAAAATACTCACAACTCTGTCAAAAATAAATTAATTTCAATTCGGAAAGCTGCCCTATGTTTATTTTTGGCAGGTTAATAAAACTGCATACTCAGTTGAAAATGTAAAAAAATTCAAATTTTTATTAATTTTAGAAAATTTTAAACATAAAAAAAATTGAAAATTTATGAAAAAAAATGTTTCTGCCGAAGATAGCTAAAATGATTCGCCTGTTGATACTGATCAAGAATATATATGGTTTATAGGGTCGGAAATGACTCCTTCACTGTTTTGCAAGCTTCTGACTAAAACTAGAATACCATTTTTAACCGATATTTATCTATTATTTTATATGAACATTTTTAACACAAATCAAAATTTAAAAATATCATAACTCTGCCAAAAATGCATTAAATTTAATTCGGAAAGCTGTTTGTCTTAATGCGGTTAATAAATCTGCATACTCCGTTTAAAATGTTACAAAATTAACAATTTTATCAATTTTTTGACAATTTTAACGATGTAACCCCTTGTAAAATTTGGAAATAATTTATAAAAATTAAGTTTCTTTACTACATATCTAGAAAGATTCGCCTGTTGATGCTGATCAAGAATATATATGGTTTATAGGGTCGGAAATGATTGTTTCATAGCGTTTGAGGCTTTCGACTAAAATTGGAACACCATTTGCTAACCGATAATTATATATTTTTTTATATGCAGTTTTGTTGATTGTAAAGTTACTAATTTGTTGTCCCCAACTGTAGCTATGTGCTTAGTCTGGAGCGCCCAGACTGTTGCAACAATGGCTTCTGCGAAAGCACCAAGAAGGCGAATGGGCAAAGAAGTGGCAGCCCCGCAATGGGTGGTAAACGATTCTTGGCGGGGGGGAGTCTGGGGAAGGGGACTCCCAGAAAGGCGGTGTTTTGTATGAAGCGGTGGCGGTGACGGAAGGTGGGGTTTTTTTCATTGTCGGGTGTACCTGATTTCCGGCGGTGCGCAGCGGAAGCATTCGATTGCCATGCGACATAAGCATATAGAATACGATATATATATATATATATATGTTCGAAGGAAAGATATGGGAGACGTTGCCATTAGCACAATCACAAAACAAAATAAAACGTGACTCAGTTTCGAGGGGTCTGTCTCTCTCAGTTGGCTATAACTTCTCAAGCGCTCCTGGCATACTAATTGATCCCGAAACCCATACCAAAATCCTCCATTGAAAATTATTGATTTTCCATTTTTCCCTGGGGTAGGGCAGGATATACGCATAGGGGGTGAAGGTGATGGTGGTGATGGTGGTGGGTGTGTGCGAAATGAGGCAGAAATTGCAGGAGAGACCGGTGAACAAAAAGAATATATGCACATATATCGATGACGTGTCGCCCACCATGGGTCCAATTCCAAAAACCCAAAAATGTTTGTCAACGCCAAATTGCAATTTTCCAATTGAATGCGATTTCTTCAAAAAAGAAAAAGCGAAAATTAAAACGAAAGAACACTCTCCTCTGCTACAGTGATGACTCAACCATAGGAACTGCCATAATCATACCATCTTCAGACAATCGGAACGTGAGATATGAATGAATGATGATAGTTTGTGATAAGTGAATGAGAAGTTTCCGACAAGTATAAATTTGAGAATTAAAAAACCTCTCTCTTGTATCAATATATTCCATTACAGCTCAATTAGTATATGTATATATTAAAATATATTAAAAACCAAGAAAGTTATAAGAATTTATAACAAAGATGTTGAAAATAAGTTGACATATTCCTAGATAATATTGCATTTCAATAAATTATATACTTTAAATATGGAATTTTAATAGTATTTAACTATTTTCATTGACTTAAGAATCCTTTTAATAATTTTCAATTAATAACACTAAAGTTTTTTCATATTTTCTGGGTAATGTTTTCCAATATTTTCCACCAATGTAGCTTTTCCGTTTCTGCTGCAGTCGACGTCCTCTGCCAATAAAGCACACGCCCTGCGCGCATCCGGACGGACAGAGAGACAGAGGAACAAACCGGCGGACAAAATAACGGACACAAGGACGAACCAACGAACAAGCGGACGAAGAGCCAGGAGCGGAAGAAAAGGAAGGAAGGGCGTACACAGACACCGGCTGGGATACATACACACACACACACACACACACTCACCCACATCCTCGTATTGCGATGCGTTTGGGAGCGTGGAAACAAAGAAAGGCAAATGCCGAAAGGAGCAGGAGAAAACGTAAACAAGAGCAGCCGCCGATAACAACAACAACAGAAAAATAGCCAGGGGGAGAAAGAAAGAAAGAAATGATAGCAGCAGCAGCAAGAGAAATATATAAAAAAGAAAAACAGTTATATGGGGGAAGGGGGATGGATTTGCACCTTGACTGCGTGTTTATGTCTGTTTATAGTTGAACTTGAATGATTGAAACAAGTCGGCGAAGAGCGGAGTGCAGAGAGCGAGAGAGAGCGGCTGGAAGCAAAAAAAAAAAAAAAGAGAGCATTGAATGCCAATGTCAAGGCAATTAGCCAGCCGAAAGCCGGTTGGAAAAATCAGCGGCTGAAAAACAATGCCGCAAGGTGGAATGGTGGCCGCCGAAGGAGAGCTCAAAACGAAATGCTAAAGTGAAAAAGATGGGAGAAAAACAGCCAGCGAAGCGACGAACTGACAACTGCCATAGATTTTATGACTTGCAGACCGGAGTTGAGTTGAGTTGAGCTGAGTGGAGTAGCAGTGGCAGTGGCAGTGGCGTGGCATGGCATAGAGTGGAGTAAAATCCGTGGCCATTGGCTTTACACCTGGAAATGGAGCAGCAGCAGCAGCAGCAGCAGCCGGCTTCGCAGTCGCGACGCTGCTCCCTCTGTCTAATTTGCACGAGAAGATGTCTGCAAATAGAGATGGTAGCGTGACCCAACTTTTCCAACAAAACACGACACGGACACCAGGTTTCCAATTCGAATTCCATTAGAAAATTATTAAAATCATTTAAAAAATAACCAAGGAAAAAAAAAAATTATTAAAGAGAGATTTAAAAAATTACAATAAACTCGACTTATTCATTAAATATGGGCAGAGGTAACTTCGTTTCAACAGGCTGTCAGTATCTCTGTTTTATCTATATAGTTTTATCTTTTTAGAACCTTGCTTAGAGCCCCCATTTTAATTAATTTCGCAAATTTGCTTGAAAACCTTATTTTCGTGTCACGACATACACACACGCTCCGCCCTAGACACAGTGGGTAGAGTGGGGGAAGGGGGGAGGCGGTAAGAGAGGAGCCATCTTTGGGCAAGGAATTCCACTTACTTTCTTTACTGCTCCTTCGGCTTCTGCCTTTTCTCGCTTTTCGCTCTTCGCTGCTGCTGCTGCTGCTGCTGCGCTGCTTTTGCCGCTATTGCTGCTGCCTTTGTTGTTGCTGTTGTTGTTGTTTTAGATGTCACTTAGCCGCCTGTTTTATAGTATTAGTTAGCGCTGTGTTATCCTGTTTTCGCGTTTTCTATTTTGCACTCGCTCTCTTGTCTCGTCTACCTTTTAGCCGGTGTTTCTGTGCGTGTGCGTGCGAATGCCGTTTGTGTGTGCGTGCGTCTGTCACACCCTTCACTTCCAATTCGAATTTTGGTTTTTCGGCCTTTTGGTTGTTTTTTCGCCAGCTAGATGCTCTCTTCACTCCCTTCTCACACAATACAAAAAAAAATGAAGAAAAAAACGTAAACAAATCACGGTTAGCGGCAATTAATTAGTATTTCTTATTCTTGTTGTCAGTGGTTGGGCAGAAGGCTGAGTCCGGCTTTTTTGTTTGTTTGATTTTTCGTATGGCAGAAAAGGATTTTCACGATTCGCTTCGAGATGATTTCTGATTGGAGGCGAAACGCATGCGCGCACAACTGTTCTTTTCTGTTTTATATATTTTATTTTATTTTCCGATGCCGGAGAATACGACCGCTATCCAACATACACTCTTTGAGCCAAATTCAAAACTTGCAAACAATTTCTTGTATATGGCTCGCACTTGCGTTCCGCTTGTTTTCTTTAACAAAGTTCACCGTTGCTGTAAATCTGAAAAAAATTTTGGAATGGCTCGCTTGCACTCGTATTTATAGCCGCCGACGGTTGTCGGCAGTGGTGTCTTCTCCGCTTTTTTTCCGCCGGATTTGGCTTGAAGTGCGATATAAAATAGCCGGCAGCGGGAATTTTAAATTCTTCGCAAATTGAGCACACTTTATATTACAATTTACCGCATATTAAGAGTTCAATTAAGTGTTACGGCAGCAAAAATATAAAAATGTTTTAAACACCGGAATTAAGGAGTTTTTATTTTATAGATTCATATGTGCGGCTGTTAATGCTGGTCAAAAATAAATATTTATAAGAGCGGATAAGCCAACTTCTTACTATAATTATATTTCCCTAGCATATCTGCTAGCATATATGCTTATTTATTATAGCATTTGATTATACAATAATTTAGTATATGAAAATCGTATAAAATAGCTTTTTTACTAGAAATCTAGCTCAGTCGCAACACTAATTGGTAGAGCCATATGTGACTTGCGCTCTTGTCGCGCATCCGCCACTCAGAGATATTTACAATACATTAGCCAGAAATAGTAGCTAAATCATCACCACTGACAAAAAGAGAGTCTGTAACGCCTCTGTTAGATAACAGCATTGGGCCTATGTTAGCCAACAGCGCTTCAACAGCTGCACTGGCTGTTAACTTTCGCGCGCTGCTTAAAATCGTAACGTAACGGTGTTTGGGCAAAGGAAATGTGCATAACTTAAGTGCATTGCATACTTAATTGCAGCTGCATCCGAAGGGGTGATGCGGGGCAGCAGCAGCAGCTGCTGCTGGCCACCCAAACGACGCGTCCCAGCCGTTTTGCTTGGCTTGCCGAGATTCGGATTCAGATTGAGACTGTGCCGCACGCTCTAATAACTTGCGATGCACTTTAAATGCACTTGCATCTTTATTGGATGTTGCACGTTAGTTTCGGACCTCTGCTGCTCGACGCTCTTAGCTGTGTTCAGTGTTCGGTGTTCAGTGGGTGTCGAGTTGCTGGATTTCACCAAAATCCTTTAAATCAACACACAGCACATGAATATTTATACAGATTTTGGATTTTACAGTTGTTAATCACTGAATGTTGCCGACTCTCCATCTCCATCCCCGTCTCTGCTCCGCTCTTCACGGCTCCTTGGCTGCGAGCAATCTTAAGCGGAGTTAATTATGCCCCGCAAATTAATGTTCAACTGCATGCCAATGTCGCTGAATGAATTGTCTTGACTTTTGCAATATTTACATTTTTAAATCCCAAGCAGAGCGCGCGCGCGCATTTGTCGCCAGAGTTGTCACCCGTCACGGGTCGCTGTTAATTCAGTATGACCATTTGCCGTGAAGGAGAAAATCCTTCCGTTTCGTGACGATTTTCGGCCATCTGGCCGAACAGCCGGGCGATCACACTCGGAAAAAATACAAACAATTCTAGACCATTTGACTTTATTAGTTTGTAGTATATATAGCAAAAATCAAAGTTCGACTAACTAAATTAAGGAGGCTACTGTTGCCGCTGCCATCCCCCACCACTCCCCTCCGCCCCAGAGACTGCAGCAACATGTTTTGGTAAAACTAAACGCATTCAAGACAAAAATCAACATAAATTCTTATTGGAAACGAAAGACTCCTCCGCAGCAAGAGTGTGAGCGAGAGCGTGCGGAAAGAGAGTCGAAATCAAAATTACCCGTTGAATCGTAACTACAAAAACACGAGAAAAATTGAAATCAAAATTTTTGGTCGGTGGTGCTGTGCTCGAGTGTGTGTGCGGGTGTGCGAGGCCTGTGTTTGTGTGTGAAGAATAAGTGCGTGAGAAAGCTGGAGGCGCGTGCATTACAATAATTGCACAAATCCCAAGACAAACGAGGGGCGGGGGTGTCACCAATCCGCGAGAGCGAGCAAGGCAGATAGACAGGGCGAACGAGACGGCCACGAAGCACAGCAGCAGATAAAACAACAACAAAGGGCTGTGATTTCTGCCAAAACGCCCACGCACCCGCCCCCGCCCCCTCCTTGCCGTGCCTCCGTTGCCTTGCTCTTCTCACTTCCGTATTTACCTAATAAACGGGACACAAGTAGTCAACAATAAGAACAACGACAACAGCAAGAGATAGCCAGAGAGAGACAGAGAGAGAGCAGCAAGGAAGAACAAACGACTAAGCGGTACAAGGGAGAGAGACCCAGAGGAACTAGCAGGGAGAGCAAGCGAAAAATGGATATCCTGGAGATGCTGCGCGCCAGCGCCACTGGCAGCTACAACACGCTCTTCTCGGATGCGTGGTGCGTTTACGTTTCCCAGCAGATCAGTGCAACGGTAAGTGAACTTCACCCTTTCTTTGTTTATTTTCAAACATGGAGTGAGTCAGTTAAGTGAGAGCGAGATAGCAGGCAGGATAGCAGATCCAGGAGAATAGGTAGACACAGCGGAAGGGAATAAGGGTGGATCAAACATAATGCGAGAGTACAGCTGTTTTTAGGGAGTCAGACAGCATGAAAGAGAGGGAGAGAATTATCGATCACATGTGGAGGATAACAGCTGTGCTGGGTTCTTGTCCAAGCTTTAAGTTTTCCGGGAAACTTGAAAAAACACTTGATATTGTTAAAGAAGAAGGAGTAAATATATTTTCATTTGAAAGCCGCGAGTTTTGAATGTCAAGATTGATTACAAATTGATATTTTGCTGATAATGATAAGCCCTATTAATAAGAAATAAATAAAATGCGTCAGCAAACCTACAAAAAAAAAGTAAATTTTCAAATTAAAATTCAATAAAATAAATATATATATATTCTTTGAAATTGAACTCTTTAAAACAGTTTTCGAAATTAAATATTTCTTAGAATACACATAAACAGATTGGGAACACCTGTTGAATATTCCGAGTAAATAATTTCACAAATCTCTGCAACTGATTTCGATCCTGGCTAGGTTTAGGACTTGTTAATTAGTTTGCTGATAAGACCCTCTATTCCTCTCCCATATTTCTCTCTCTTGCCCGCATCCCCATCTCTTTTCGTCACTTCCGTGTTTTGATTTGATTTCTTTTTTTTTGTCTTGCCTTCAAATCGGAATTTGTTTGTTTTGCGGCCTTGCATAAAACCAAAAACAAAAACAAATAACCGAAAGAAAAGAAGGAGAAAAACAAGGAACACCAACAACTGGTTACAGTAGCCACATGATAAGCACACGGCCCAATATATTATACTGATAATGATAGTGTGACCCCGCTGGAAAAGCTGATTACACGTCACACGTAACTATAAACGAATGCTAATCAGAAGCACGTGCAATTGAAAAAGGGAAAAGGGAATGGGCTCGAAGGGGGCATGGCTGCCCAAATCAGTTTTCAATAATTCAATTAACCCCTTGGGGCCGCATCAATTTAGCCCATCGTCTTGTGACCGCGACCGTTGCTTTTGTGTGCGAATTTCACTCCCTCTCCCTCTCCCTCTCCCTCTCCCTCTCACTCTCCCTATCTCTTACTTTGTTGCCATGTCCGATCAGCTAGCACATACACACATACATACATATGTAAATCCAATTGGATGGCTAAGAGGGTTTAGATTTCAATTGGAGCAAATGAGCCATGGATATCAATTGTTTGTAATGGGACAAGGGGACAGACAATTGGAATTTATGATAAAACGAAAACCTGATGTACAACTAAATTGTAAACAACAACAATGAGAATGGGAATCGTAAATAAAAGTAATATACTTACTATATTTATATCAAAATACAAGCACAATGCGGAAATTGCAGACAATAACAGAGAAATAAATAACAACAGCAGAGTAAAGTAAAAGAAAACTAATAGCAACAACAACAACAACTATTGTGAACCGCAAAACACTATGAAGAAAGTAGAAGAAGAACAACAACAACAAAAGCAGGAACAACAAGTGCAACGACGCCGCAACGTCGTCATTTCAATGTCAAAGTGCCTATGAATGCAATAATAACAATAACAATTGCATATATCAAACATTAACAAGAACATATTGAAGAGTAAAGTCGAATATGTGAATACTCTTGAACAGTTTTCGATTCATTTTGTTCAATAAAAAGTTCTTATTAAGCCCAGAATAGGATCCTTTACTTCCCGCTCTCTATTCTAGTTTATTTTGTAATCAAATTTAAGAGAATTTTGAAGAAAGACCTGAAATATTTATATTATATTTCTATTTATATATATGACAATTCTTCAAATAAATCAAAGCTAAGGATAAACAATTAATTAATTAATTAATAATATCAAAACAATATGAAGAATTAGGGCGTGGCACTTAAGAACAACTTTTAATAGGCAAATGGCAAAACCTTGGATAATTTTGGTTTATGGAGTTATTATTTTTATACGAAAATAAATGTAATATTCCCCTGATTGGTTATAAAAGCCAAAAGAACAACAAACCGCTAACAACGCCCAGCTGATGAGCTCGATTATACGGGCCTCACACTTACTGGAATTCAGAGCGTTTCTTGGAACAATAGCAAGTGTTTCTCCCTGAATAATTCAAGATCGTATGTCTCACTGAGCTTACATTGGGTGTCGCTTGAATATTGCATTATACGACCACAAAAACTAAACAAGAAAGGAAACTGGAATCTGGAATCAGAACTTTATATACATATGTACCTTGCAGTTTGAATTATACGATCGTATTGGAAATCGATCATAACTAATCCCAAAATATTCGCTTTCGATATTTTTGACTTTTTGACGACAAAGCAAAGTTTAAAAATTTCATAACTTCGCTAAAAATGCATTAATTTTATTTCGGAAAGCTGTCCTGTATTAGTTTTTTAAAGGATAATAAATCTGCATACTCGATTTAAAATGTTATAAAATTCGAATTTTATCAATTTTTAACAATTTTAACGATGTAACCCCTTGTAAAATTTGGAAAAAATTTATAAAAAATTTGTTTCTTTACTACATGTCTAGAAAGATTCGCCTGTTGATGCTGATCAAGAATATATATGGTTTATAGGGTCGGAAATGACTCTTTCATATCCTTTGAGGCTTCTGACTAAAATTAGAATACCATTTTTTAACCGATATTTATCTATTTTTTCATATGAAAATTTTAGACAAATCTAAATTTTAAAATATCACAACTCTGCCAAAAATGCATTAATTTTAATTCGGAAAACGGTCCTCTGTTAGTTTTTATGAGTTTAACAATTCTACATACTCAATTTAAAATGTTAAAAAATTCAGATTTTATCAATTTTAACGATGTGTAACCCCTTATAAAATTTCGAAAAAATGACAAAAATGTAGGTTCTTTCCTGCATGCCCAGAAAGATTCGCCTGTTGATGCTGATCAAGAATATATATGGTTTATAGGGTGGGAAATGACTCCTTCACTGTTTTGCAAGCTTCTGACTAAAATTAAATTATCCTGCAAGGGTATAAAAAAGACAGAAAAACATGTGTTGGAAAGACTACAAAGTACGGGTTTTATATTCTTGTTTAAAAGCCTTTATCCTTAATATTTGTATTTTTTATAAGCTTTAATTTTATAGTTACATATGTACATATGTTTTTGTACCCAAAGTTTAATTTGAACCATTATTTGAACACTTCAAAACACATACATAATAGTGGGAATTAAACACAGCTAATTCCCTCTTTGGGAACTTTGCAAGTGTTGCCTAAATGAATAATTCAGCAAAAGTGGTTGTGGTCTCACTTATATATTCCCTTTGACCATGTTCTCCAAGGGATTTTCAAGGAAAGTTTAAGGCAGACGGCGGTTTTCATTCGAATTTTCATGATTAGTTTCGGTAACAAAGTAGAAGGAATTTTTTAGGGTTATTCTCCAAGGATTATTTGAAAAGAAACGTGTTAATATTCAGGGGAATCCCTATACCACTAAAAACAGCTGTTGCCATACAAATTTCTTATTCGATATTTTCCGCCATTTGGGTCGCTAAAAGTATCGGCTTCTCTGATTTAGTCGTACAGGGAATCCCCTAATTGTTTAACATGATATTATTATTATTAAAGATATATAGTACATAAATCTTAAAGGTATAATCATTTAAGTGAGTTTTAGACATATTTTTGAAGCATAGTTTTGGCTTTATCTATAGCTTAAAAAAAGATATACCTTGGCTCGGTATTTTTCTATTGGCGTATATCGTACGTAAGGCATAAAATGCAACCCTGCCCAATAACAAAAACCTCGTAAACTCCCATCTCTGAGAACCTCCAATTGTCACGACAAATCTCTCGATTAAAAAAGCTCTTTGCTAATTAAAGTGTCCTTAATTATCTCGAAACAATGAGGAACTGGATTAGATTGGGATGCATTTTAAACATATTTTCAATACTTGTTGATCTCTCATTCTATAATTCACAGATGTACGTATCGATGGGCGTCCTTATTCCGACCATTCTCCTCTTCGCCTGGTGCATATACTTTAAGCGTTTGGCCCGGTTGCGCCTGCGCGATGAGCTTGCCCACTCCCTGAGCGCCGTCACCTCGTCCGGCGGGGATCTCCGGGGATTGCGCTTCCGGAAGCGTGACAAGATGCTCTTCTATGGACGCCGCATGCTGCGCAAGATGAAGAACGTGAGCGGTCAGATGTATAGCAGCGGTAAGGGCTACAAGCGGCGGGCGGTGATGCGCTTTGCCCGCCGCATTTTACAGCTGCGACGGGACAATATGCCGCTGGAGATGCGAACGGTGGAGCCGCCGGCCGAGTATCTGGAGGAGACAATGGAGGGCAGCGATCGTGTGCCGCCCGATGCGCTCTACATGCTGCAGAGCATCCGGATCTTTGGACACTTTGAGAAGCCCGTCTTTCTGCGACTGTGCAAGCACACCCAGCTGCTGCAACTGATGGCCGGCGACTATCTGTTCAAGATCACTGATCCCGATGACAGTGTCTACATTGTCCAATCGGGCATGATCAATGTGTACATCTCGAATGCCGATGGCAGCACCCTGTCCCTGAAGACGGTGCGCAAGGGTGAGTCTGTGACGTCGCTGCTCAGCTTCATCGATGTGCTGTCGGGGAATCCCAGCTACTACAAGACGGTCACCGCCAAGGCCATTGAGAAATCGGTGGTCATTCGACTGCCCATGCAGGTGGGTTTCTCCATTGTTTTGTTTCGTTTGGTTTTTTGTGTGGCTTCACCAAGAACCACCTGCTCCGTGGCTTTAATCAGTGCTCATTTAATCATTGGCATATCTTATCTGTGGGTTAGATAGACACCCACAAATATGGGCTTGAATTAAAATATTTTATAAATATAATCCAGGGGATCTAGATAAGTTTTTTACTTGCTATATCTTTAAGTAAATCCTAAACTCTATAGGGGTCTAGGAATGTTTTTTGCTTTACAGCAAATACTCCTCTTTTTTTACAAGTTTTTGCAAACTATAATTTGTAAACAAGAGCTGTATTTACACAACTTACTTAAAGATTACCAATTTTAATGTTAACCATATAGAGAACCACAAGACAAACTGTTTAATAAATACCTTTTCCTGTTCTCTTTACGCCAGGCCTTCGAGGAGGTGTTCCAAGACAATCCGGACGTTATGATTCGCGTCATCCAGGTGATCATGATCCGATTGCAGCGGGTTCTCTTCACCGCCCTGCGTAACTATCTTGGTCTAAACGCCGAACTGGTGCAGAATCATATGCGCTACAAGAGCATTGCCATGATGTCCGGGACCATTGTCAACTCGCAATCATCGCGTCAAGCTGCCACCACAGCAATGCCGCCCAGCCAATTGCCAGTGCCACCGACAGCGGCGACTCCGATGACTCGGGAAGCGGGAGCGGGAACAGGAGCAGGAGCAGGAGCAGGAGCAGGAGTTGGTCGGGCTCAACACTCATCATCGCGGCATTCGCGCGAAGAGCACACCTTATCCGATCCAAATCCCAATCCGGATGCCTGCCCACAGATCGGAACAAATCAGATATTCAGTGATCTGCATGGGGAATCGTCCAGTGCGTATGCTTTCCATCAGCAGCAGCATTCTGTGGGGAATCTGTCCACGCGTCGCGGTTCCATCACCCAGCCGGGTCCATCTTCGCCCCTTGAATGTGGCAACTCAACGCAGTCGCAGCAGCAACCGGCGCCACCGCCGCAAGCACCTTCGATAGATCTACGACTGGTGCAATCCTCGGCCGTGGAGAGTCTGCGCCGGGAACTGGGCCTACCGGAGGAGGATGCTCACATTATAGAACCCTTTGTGGAGGTCCGTGAACTGGAGCCCAATGTCACGCTCATCACCGAGGGCAATGCGGACGATGTGTGCATTTGGTTCGTGATGACTGGTACCTTGGCCGTCTATCAGGGCAACCAGGATGCCACACGGGCCAAGCCGGATAAGAGTGATATGCTCATACATTTCGTGCATCCCGGCGAGATTGTGGGCGGCCTGGCCATGCTCACAGGCGAAGCGAGTGCCTATACTATCCGATCGAGAAACAATAGCCGGATAGCGTTCATCCGGCGAGCGGCCATCTATCAGTGAGTACTCCATTAGGCTCAGTCGTACATTTATCTCATCTTGTATTCTATAGAATCATGCGACAGCGGCCACGGATCGTTTTGGATCTGGGCAATGGTGTGGTTCGTCGCCTGTCGCCGCTGGTGCGGCAATGTGATTATGCCCTTGACTGGATTTTCCTGGAGTCGGGCCGTGCCGTTTATCGGCAAGATGAGAGCAGCGATAGTACCTACATTGTGCTGAGCGGACGCATGCGATCGGTGATCACGCATTCCAGCGGAAAGAAGGAGATCGTGGGCGAGTACGGCAAGGGTGACCTTGTGGGCATCGTCGAAATGATCACCGAGACGTCACGCACCACGACGGTGATGGCTGTGCGCGACTCGGAGCTGGCCAAGCTGCCCGAGGGCCTGTTCAATGCCATTAAGCTGCGCTATCCCATTGTGGTTACCCGGCTGATTAGCTTCCTTAGCCACCGCTTCCTCGGCTCGATGCAGACGCGCTCGGGCAGCGGGGCGCCGGGCGCGCCCGTTGAGGCCAATCCCGTCACGCACAAGTACTCAACGGTGGCCCTGGTGCCCATCACCGACGAGGTGCCGATGACAACCTTTACCTACGAGCTCTACCACTCGCTGTGTGCCATAGGTGCGTATACAAAATATTAGCATAGGTATCTATTTTCAGCCTTTGATGATAATACTTTCCGGTAAAGTGTATTTAATAAGCCAAATCCTGGTAGTTGGTCAGTTATTAATCCATCTTTATCCCACGGCAGGTCCGGTTCTCCGGCTCACATCGGACGTGGTGCGCAAGCAGCTTGGCCCGAACATCTTTGAGGCGGCCAACGAATACCGGATGACCTCGTGGCTGGCCCAGCAGGAGGATCGCAACATTATAACGCTCTATCAGTGCGATAATTCCCTCAGCGCCTGGACGCAACGTTGCATGCGGCAGGCGGATGTGATTCTGATTGTCGGCCTCGGTGATCGTTCACATTTGGTGGGGAAATTTGAGCGTGAAATCGATCGACTGGCGATGCGAACACAAAAGGAGCTGGTGCTGCTCTACCCGGAGACGACAAATGCCAAGCCCGCGAATACTTTAAGCTGGCTGAACGCCAGACCCTGGGTGACCAAGCATCATCATGTGCAGTGCGTGAAGCGCATCTTTACGCGCAAAAGTCAATATCGCATTGTGAGTATTGTAAATGGATCTGTTAAGCGCCTTTATGGGGTTATCAATACTTGTAAATGTCTTAGACATAAGATTTAGTAGTATTTAGTTTAGTTTTGCCATAGGTTTCCTTCAAAGCCTGTGTGTACTCGCAATATTATTGTTCTCTTGTTGTATATAACCACTATTTAGAGGCATATTTTTTCTGTGATTTTAGTGCCCACTTTAAGTTCTTTTATGGCATTTTATGCCGAAAATATCTCGATATATCAGTACTATTGATATTTTAACTTTTCTTTATCATTATCTCCACTAAATAGAGTCATAAACTCTAAACCATACATTATATCAAACTTTCTCTATACATTTCTTTATACATACATTCCCAATTAAATTTATGTGATATTAATTCACCTGTCAAGGGCCACTACATTCAATTAAACGTCCATGGCACTGAGCATCGTAAAGATAAAGCTATCAGGAGCACTCCATAATCATAATCAGTGAAAATGAGTGAAATTACGTATCATAAATATAGCTATATCTATTAGTGAAGCATGTAGATTAGGGCAGATTAAGTATGGATAGTCTCGTTTCAGGTAATCATGATTGACAAGATTTCATGAAGAGGAGATAAGGTAATCAATTAACCAGGTTTTTGATTAAATATTTGACAATATTGATAGTATTTTACATACATTTTGATTATAGTTTCTAATTTCTCACTTTCCTGCTTTACAGAATGATCTCTACAGTCGCGTCCTGCTCTCCGAACCGAACATGCATTCCGACTTCTCGCGCTTGGCCCGCTGGCTGACGGGTAACTCGATTGGCTTGGTCCTGGGCGGCGGCGGAGCACGCGGCGCTGCCCACATTGGCATGCTGAAGGCCATCCAGGAGGCAGGCATACCCATCGATATGGTTGGCGGCGTGAGCATAGGCGCCCTGATGGGTGCCCTCTGGTGCTCCGAGCGCAACATCACCATAGTCACGCAGAAGGCGCGCGAGTGGTCCAAGGTTTGTCTCTGTGGATCCCAGGGATCTTGGAGATCCTTTGAATGTTGAATTCAGGCCTAGCCTATCATGAAACATATAATAATTGTGGAATTGAATTATTTCAGAAAATGACAAAATGGTTCCTACAACTGCTGGACCTCACTTACCCGATCACATCGATGTTTTCCGGACGGGAGTTCAACAAAACCATCCACGACACCTTTGGGGATGTGAGCATCGAGGATCTGTGGATACCCTACTTCACGCTGACCACAGACATCACGGCCAGTTGCCATCGCGTTCATACCAATGGTGAGTCCAGTCGGTCGTCCTCTGCTTTTGCCTTTTCTCTCCCTCTCTGTCTCTTTGTCTCTGTCTGTCTCTTTCTTTAGATATCTCTCTCCTGTTGTATATACATATCTCTCTCTGTCTCCTTGTCCGTATCTATCTCTGTCTCTGCTATTGTCTGCCTTGCTCTATTAGTTATAAAACTGCAGTTAATATATCATTTAAAGGGATTATCTTTACTTTGCTACATAAATATCAAGATTTTGATTTTATATCGATGGAAATATATATTGTTATGATTAAAGAAATTAATTCATATAAATTATTAAAATATTATTGATCTCTTAATCGATATATTACCTGCACAAAGTTAGTATGTTTTATTTTAGTAGCTTTCCTTTAGTTCTTGCTTCTTTCTCTCTGGTATTTCGATAATTTTTCGGTTCGATTGTAACGATAACACAGCTTCTTATAACTTCTTCTGTTTTTGGCTTTTGTAACGCTCTTACGCTTCCTATTCCTTCAGTAAAAGCCTTAGAACTGAGTGTACATTCACGATAGAAAAAGACAAAAAATACACACCCCACACCTGCACACACACACTCTCAAATACACACACCATCCATGGCCAGCAATTAATTTTGGAACAATTTCTCAAACATTTAAATGTGAAAATTTCGGAATTATCGGCGCTGAGCTCCCAATTGAATGTGTGCCGTCTTTAATTAGTTGTAATTTCTTGTTGTCCAAATTTTGTAAAGAAATTATTTTTAATTGCTGTTGTTGTTGTTGCTGTTGTTGGTTTCGCGTTGATGTTGTTTCTCTGCAACAATTTGGAGGTTTAAGCATAAAACAAATGAGTATATCCTTGGCTCTTGTGGTTTTTGCTACAGACTTAAAACGTCTGCTGCTCCCTCGTAAAAAAAGCTACCCATCGCTGCTCCCATTTTTCAACAAGCTCCACTTGTGACACTCATATTCTTTATGTGAAATTCATTTAAAATTGATCCTTATTTTGTGTGATCCTAGCCAAAGTCATTTTACAATCCTTAGTTTTCTTTTGTGGTCCCCATTTAACCCATATTAGTGGCTCCCAAGTCCTGTAACCCGTACATCGCATGCCCCAAGCTCATGTTTATGTTAATCCTCATCACATATCCTTAAAAAAAAAAGAAAAGAAAAGATCGTTGAACGCTTTTTTCTCTCTCTCTCTCTCTCAATCTCTCTTTTTTTTCTCTTTTCCCCCGCCACACACACACAACACACACACGAATTATACACCCTACACACACACACCCACACCCGCCACGACTTATCATTGCTGCTGGCATGTGTGTCTCTGTGTCTCAGGATCTCTGTGGCGTTACGTACGCTCCTCCATGTCGCTCAGCGGCTACATGCCGCCGTTGTGCGATCCCAAAGATGGGCACCTCCTGCTGGATGGCGGCTATGTGAATAATCTGCCAGGTAATTAGCAATTAGCACATAGAATACGATTTAACCAAAAAAAAAAAATGAAAAAAATAACGATAATGAATATGAAAATAATACCTAAATCCACCGAGCGTGTTAATCCAAATCTCACTTTCAATTCCAATCTAGAGCTGTTGTTTTTTTTTTCTTTGTGTTGGCACAGAAAGAGAGAGAGCGCGCAGAGCGTTGGAAAGTCCTTATTGTTCGTTCGATCGATCATGCTTGCCTGCGTTCCCTCCCACTGCTCCACTTCCCTGTTTCATACAAAAATTCCCTCTTGCCCAATACTAAAAAGTTGTGTTGTGTTTTTGTACCGTTTCCGCCGGATGCCATTGTTTTTCTTCGGGCTGGCAATGCCGTCGATCCTTGCATCTCAACCGGTAAAGCTCATTTCCGCCATCATGACCACACACACACACATGAACACACACTGACACGAACAAACAAACACTTGTTAAAAAAAAAACAGAGTGCACAAAGTTTCTTTGGTTTTCTCCCCTTATTTTATTAACTTTGTAGTGTATAGTTGTTGTTTCTTTCTGAGTTGTCCTTTTGTTTGTTTACTCCTTTCCTTGGTTTGGCCTTTTTGTTGTATTTTCATTTGTAGTTAGAGCCTTGTAGCAAACCGTTATTTCTACACAAGCAACAGTTGTCATCGTGGATAAAATTGTGTCTATCTCTTTATCTCTCTCTCTCTCTCTTTATCTTTGAAACACACACACACTTACACTCGTCCTCCTTCACACACACACACACACACACGATCCACAATGAAAATGAAAATTTATGAAATACCAAATTGATGAAATTCAAATCCATAACCCACCATGTCGCGTTTGTGTCTCGTCGTGTTGTGATGTTTATGATTTGTTGGCTTTGTACACCTGTTTTGTCACCTGTGTTGCAAACGGCGAATAAAACAGGCCACCTGTGGCGTTACTGCCGCGCCAGCATGTCAATTGCCGGCGTATTTCCGCCATTTTGTGATTATAGCGACGGTCACCTGCTGCTCGACGGCTGCTACACCAACAACGTTCCAGGTAAACAGCATCCACAGAGTACCGAGTACCACCAGTCCCATAAACGTACCATCCACAACACTAGTTTCAATTCCAATTCCCATTCCAACGCTCTGCGTCCGCTCCAGTATTGGAAATTGAATTCAGCGAGAGTGTCCTTGCGAAGAGTCCTTGATTTCCCAAGCATCTTGAGTCTCCAATTGCTTCAAAGTTCCAAAAATGCAATTGAAAAACATTAAATTAAGCAATCTAAATTTACAATTAAATCGAAATTAATTTTGGACTAAAGTTTTCTAAAGACTCAAGTTGCTGCGGGAAAAACAAAAACACAGCCAGTGGATTCTATTTAGTTGTAAACGCGAAAATAACACGATTTAATATTAAAACATACAGAATATTATATAATAACACGTATTTACCCATTGAAAGGCTTTCTCTTTGCAAAATTAAGCCCCAAAATAAGGTTTTAAAGGTAGAAATTTGACATTTCCGTATTGGTATTGCCAAACCATAAATTACAAAGCTTATTTCTCTGCTTAATTTTGCAAAATGAACCAATAATCGCGCTCGAGATGCTACTGAGAATTGCTAACCAAACATATTTGCATTTTAAACAACAAAACGACCATCCGCCTCCGATCCGCATCCGTGTATTCCAACGCCATTTCCCTCCACACGTCCACTTTCCCGTTTATATATATGTATATATATATAGCCGATGTGATGCACAACCTGGGCGCTGCTCACATCATAGCCATTGACGTCGGCTCCCAGGATGACACCGATCTGACGAACTACGGCGATGACCTCAGCGGCTGGTGGCTGCTCTACAAGAAGTGGAATCCCTTCACGTCGCCCGTCAAGGTGCCCGATCTGCCGGACATACAATCCCGGCTCGCCTACGTCTCCTGTGTCCGCCAGCTGGAGGTGAGTGTGCCTTGGATAGTTTCTCCACAAATCCTTTATTAATCCCTAAACTTCCTGTTCCCCAATAGGAAGTGAAAAACTCAGACTATTGCGAGTACATCCGACCGCCGATTGATAAGTACAAGACCCTGGCCTTTGGCAGCTTCGACGAGATCCGGGACGTGGGCTATGTGTTCGGCAAGAACTACTTTGAGAACATGGCCAAGGCGGGGCGGCTGGGCCGGTTCAATCAGTGGTTCAACAAGGAGCCGCCCAAGCGCGGCAACCACGCCTCCCTCAACGAGTACACCTTCATCGATCTGGCGCAGATCGTGTGCCGACTGCCGACTGCGGTCAACACCGGTGCGGAGATCTTTAGCGAGGACGAAGACTGTGATGGCTACATCTCGGAGCCAACAACGCTGAATACGGTGGGTTTGATTAGGATTAAGGCACGGATTAATCTAAGACTAAATCTATTTGTGTTTTAAATACAGGATCGTCGACGTATCCAGGTGCCGCGTGCCGGCAACTCGCTGTGCTTCTCCGAGACTGAAATAGACTCCGATGTGGAGATCGATCTGAAGCTAGAAAAGACGAGTATTCAGAGCAAGGAAGAGGCTACACGACATCATCATCGGTATCATAGGCATAAACGGGAAGAGGAGGTGGTGGCAGCGACCACGGCGGAGCAAACAGTCCAGCAGCCACAGAGCACAGCAGATGTTGGAGGGCGGTGTGGCTTGGAGCAGGGAGAGAATTGCCTGAACAAGGACGACGATAAGGAGAACCGGAACAGGGCGAATAATGAAACCAAAAACTAGCAAATAGGCATAAAAAAACGAAATCAATCATCCGCAGAAACACGGTTGACCTCTCTCCCCTATAGGTTTTATAATATAGCAACCAAGACTTAGGCTTAGCTCTTAGCATACGAGAAAAACCGAAGAAAGATTGCCTTGCCACCCACTGCACACTCTCTCCCACTCACCCACAACTACACATATTGTAATGCAGGCACAACTTTGTCCACAAAACTTTGTATATACATATATATCAACTATATGTATATATATTGTATATTTTTTCTGAGGAGAAAACCTGTAAGGAAACGGAGATCCTGGGCCATCCCGAAAACCGCATCCACACCTACACCTAGTGGTGTGTGTAGTCTCCCCCTCTCTCTCTCTCTATATATATATATTACTATTAGTAAGTGCAAATTGTTTGTTTTAATGGTCGGATATATATAGCATATATGTATATGAATTCTTTTTTTTTTTCTTTTTGTAAATGCAAGCAAATAAACTGAAATCAATTGAAAGTACAAAAAATACACAAAGAAACGTCTTTAAATCTAAATGGAGTCGGATATTTATTTATAATTTACTTATTTACATTTACTTATTACATTTCCCCAAGTGTTCCAAGTGTTGGATTCGGAGTCGTGGCCTATTCCCCGGAAATCGTGGAATGGCACTGATACCGAGTGGTGCCGGCGCCCCAGGCCTCATCTTACAACGGCATCGGCCATAAATGGCTACATCCAGTGGCCAGGTGAGTCAGTTGTCCAGGTAATGGCAACCACAGAGCTTGGGATAGTTGTCGGCTAGCTAACTAAGAGGTGAGTCCCATAAACTTGAAGGGAAGAAAAATAATAGTGTCTAAGTTGAGTGTTAAATTAAAAAACTTAATTAATTATACCGAAAAAGAGCCTTACAACTTGAAAGAAATAAATGTTTAAGAGGGTTCTTATGAGTTCTTAAATATTCAAACCTATATTTGATACTAAGCTTCATATATTATTTTCCATAGGGATTGTATTCATATCCATGCAGGGTATTATATGTAGCTTTAGTCTTTCAAATTGTCAAAAATTGATAATTAAGTTTTTAGTTGAGTATGCAAATTTATTAACCTAATAAAAACTAACATAGAACCGTTTTCCGAATTAAAATTAGTGCTCCTTTGGCTGAGTTATGAATTTTTAAAGCTTTCATCTGTCTCACATTAAAATATTAATAAATATAGTTCAGAAATTACGAACATATAAGGACGATAAGGTCATAAGTTTATAAAATACTCAATGATTGCAAGAAGTCATATGCATATGTATATATTTCGATACGCCATTAAAATCTTAGTTAATTAATAATAAAATAAAGATAAAGTTAATTTTTAAATTTTCCCGGCAACTGTTTCCGGTTTCTGTTAGATATACAAAAACAAAAACATTCACAAATTTAGTTGGCTCAATCGCATTTTCATCACCGTTGCTAAAAAAAAACAAAACGAATTTGCTCCAGAATTCAACGAATTCGGGTCCCAGCTCTGATATTTGCACCAGGCGAACAGAAACTTCAGCAAGCAGCTGACCGGCTGAAAATAATTCTAAAGTAACGGTTCCTAAAAGAGGGGAACGCAAAGCTTCTCTCTGATTGGTCAATTCAAATGTAAACAAAGGACGGCCATCATTAAAATTTTGAAAGCACCGTTAGATCCTCAGAGAGGGAATAGCAAAGCTTCTCTCTGATTGGTCAGTTCAAATGTAAACAAAGGACGGCCATCATTAAAATTTTGAAAGCACCGTTAGATCCTCAGAGGGAATAGCAAAGCTTCTCTCTGATTGGTCAGTTCAAATGTAAACAAAGAACGGCCATCATTAAAATTTTAAAAGCACCGTTAGATCGGCGGACTGTGTAGTTCTGAAGTAACGGTTCTTAAAAGAGGGGAAAGCAAAGATCTTGATGCTGGCGAACAGCTTGCTGCTGTTTCTGTTCGCCTGGTACATAAAGGTAATGAAATTGGTCATTTTGGCCGGAATTTGGTGCGAACAAAAACGGATTCGATTGAAGTTGGACTCGCATTCACCCAATTTGCCCAACTCGAGTCAATACAAATTAAATATTATAGAAAAATATAGAACATAAATTTTCACAGTCTTCTATGAACTCTAGGGAATATATTATATATTAGGTATATTTCTGGTTAATTTCGGTTGGGTTTTCGTGGAATTTAAATTAAACTTTAAGCTGTATGAACTCTAACAAATTGCGACAACTCTCACTCCATGGCAATCATGTACCCTGAGTGTGCCCTATTTTTTTGAGTTCCGAAATCAAAGTAGGCAGGAGAGGGCAATCCTAAACTAACACACTCATCGTCGTTTTCGGTGTCAGAATTTTTTAGTCGTTGACCGATTCGGAGCTGAGCAGACCTAACCAACAAAAAACGAAACGCTTTTTAATTATTGCCTTTCGGTGGCACTTAAATTCGATTTTGTAATACTTTTGTATAGCGCGGCATCGGCTGTGCTTTATTTTTCGATTGCCCACGATTCATGTAGTTCGTGTATTGGTGATATATACATACATATCTCTTTCCTTTAAGAATGGAGAAGAATCGCAAACACAAGAAGGTTAAAAATTGTGAGTATGGTACGGGGAAGCACACTACCTGTGAAAACTATAGAATCCCAGGGGGGCGCAGAACATCGACAAATACAAATCTGCATTTTTCTTGGTTTCAATTCAATTTTGTTTGGAATTAGTTGCTACCAATGTTGTTATCAATAAGATTCGTAAGCTCGATCCATTTTAAATACCAAATTCAAGAAAATGCACACATTACACGCACACATACATATGTAAATAGCAAGACGTTTTTTTTTTCTTCTTTCCTTTTCTTTCTTTCAAATTTTGACACTTTGCAAACACCACATATATACATATACCGCCATATTGTCTTCTCTCTCTCATTTTTGACAGTTGTTCACACATACTTTGTTATATATGCACGTGTGTGTAATCCTCCTCTCCTTCTTCCATTCCTTTCTTCCCCCTTCCTCTTTGTCAGGCAAAAAAATGGCACGCGGCAAAAAAGCCCCGGCCCCGCTCGAACCCGTCAGTGCTTCGGAGGAGGAAGCGCGTACTTTGATGCCACCGCCTCCCATTCCGGTCAACAAGGAGCCACTAGAGCAACCGGAGCCATCCATCCAGCACATGGTCGCTCTGAAACCCAAGTTCTTGCCCAACCTAAGGAGTCTGGTGTTCCCGAAGATGGTATACGAGCAGGCCAAGCGTCTGGTGATCACGCCGCTGATGACCTACAGCCATGATGCCGCGGCCGCCACGAAGCTTCGCGGCGCGCGCTGTCCCAGCTTCGAGCTGCCCAAGGATATGTTCCCCAGTGGGGCACCCATATGGAAGATCACATTTCTGCCGGAGGAACTGCTGCCGATGGGCTTCGATGCCGGCGGCGTCTTTGCCACAGGCGTCCTGGCCCGCAAATACTATCCCACAGATTTGTTGAGTGCGGATCACAAGGGCCAAACGCCGCCCCTATTCATTGGACATCGCAACTCGAGCTATATCCTACCGCCGGAGGTCCAGGCCCAGGCCAAGGGCAATGGGAACGGTGGGGGCCAGACACAGGCCCCGCCCAAACGCATCCAGCCACTGACACCGGCACCGCCACCTTCGCCACCCTACAGGCGCAGCATACTGAAGCCCAATGCCTCCGTTACGGATGATATGAATCGACGCCTTCTCCACCACAACATCACCGTGATTGAGATTGTCATTATGCCGACTTACCCGAAGCCACAGTCGAACTATCCTATGGCCGCTCCTATGCAGATGCAGTGCAACATGTATGCACCCGACTTGAGTAAGGTCATCTTTGCAACGCAGGAAATTAAGATGACCGTTGTGGCCATCCTCTCGACGGTCCATCAGCCGAACGTACCGGAGGTGGCGATGGCCACCATGGACAACGAGACGTGTCCCATGTTCGAGCTGCCTGCCGATATCTTTCCGGTGGACATCAACCGGCCGGGACCACGTTTCCTGCCACAGCGTTTCCTGCCCGATTTCTGTGATGCTGGTTGCGTCTTTCCGCCGGGCTCGCTGCCCGACTCCGTGTTCCACGGCGCCATCCGTACGCACTATGACCTGGAGCAGCATCACTATTCGATGACGCCACCGCTGTTCGTGGGCCAATGCAAGCAGCAGCAGGAGCAACCGTGTGACAACGGAACTGTCCAAGTTTACAAAATTGACCCGGTAGCCATGCAGCTGAAGAAGCTGGCCCTGAGGAATATGGCAGCGACGAAGAAGGACACCACCAAAATCCCGGTGCCCCTCCCCGAGGGCACGAAGCGCTCCCACGACTTTAAGCTAGCGGCTCAAGCCGGCAAGCCCAAGGGCTTCGTCCTCATCGAATCGGACCATGTGCCGCGTGGCGCCATCCCGACCGATTTCTTTGGGGCCTTCCTCATGGGATGCTTTTTTATGATTGCGCCCAATAACAAAGGTGTAACTCAGTCCTCATCCGAGTCGGAGGATGATGAAGAAGATGAACAGGAATTCCTGGACTTTCAGAATAATATGTTTACTATGGTAAAATTGAACAGAGGAAGTCTGGCAGGAGTGCCGGCAGTTGAGAAAACTGAAGTTCAGAAAGCTGAAGTCAAGGAGCCGGAAACTGAGGAATCGGAAGCCGAGCTCAATTCTGAAGAATACGAAACCGAAGAGTACTTGGACGAAGACTGCGAGTCCGAGGGATATGAGGCAGAAGAAATCGATACCGATGAGTATGAGGCTGAAGTGCGCAGGATCGAGGAGATCGATCCAGATGAGATCGACACCGATGAGTACGAGGCCGAGGAGGTCGATCCCGATGAGATCGAGACCGATGAGTACGAGGCTGATGAGGACAAGACCGAGGAGCTGGATCCCGATGAGATCGAGACTGATGAGTACGAGGCTGAAGAGGGCAAGACCCAGGAGTTGAATCAAGATGAGATCGAGACCGATGAGTATGAGGCTGATGAGGGCAAGATCGGGGAGCTGAATCCAATTGAAATTGAGACCTATGAGTACAAGGCTGATGAGGGCAAGACCAAGGAACTGAATCAAGGTGACATCGAGACCGATGAGTACGAGCCTGTAGAGGCCAAGACCAAGGAGGTGAATCAAGATGAGATCGAGACCGATGAGTACGAGCCTGTAGAGGCCAATACCAAGGAGCTGAATCAAGATGACATCGAGACCGATGAGTATGATCCTGAGCAAGCGGATGGCAAGAAGCCCAAGGTGGTCCAAAAGTCCGACATCGCAGAGCCCCCGGCTAAGGAACCCAGTCTAAAACGTAACTCCAAGGTGTTCAACTAGAATATAATGAAAGTTAACAAAATGTCCCTTTAATTTTGCAGGTAAACATACCAACACTGATAACGAATACACCAATCGCATCGCACCGGACTACACTGGCTGCGACAAGGTCTACAGCTACTTCACCATCGACAGCAACCTGGATGATATTGCCGAGGCTGCCGGTGACCTGACCACCGCCCGTTTCGAGGTCATAGTGCATGCCTCCGAGCTGCCAGGCATAGACGTGAACCGAGCCGTGGAGCAGTTCCGCCAGGTCCTGCAGTGCCGCAACGAGATTCGAGCCAAAATGACGGGATTGATCAATGCCCACGATGCGAAGATGGAGGCGGACCACAAGGTGGTGCTGGTATCTCCTGTCCCGGAAGTGAACACCAAGCGCGTGTTTCGCAAGACTTGCTCGCAGTGCGGTAAAAACCACTAGACGAAATCCATATCAATAACGGATATCGTATCAAGTATATCGATTTTTTTAAATCTTATTTACAATAAATATTAAATTTTTAATGGATTCTCAAGTTTATTCAGGGGCTTTTATCGGCTCGTCACGTCTCACTCCCTACATATACATATATTTATATAATTTTAGCCTTGCGTTTTGGGTTTCAACTATAGAGTGTGTGTGTGTGGGTGGGGCAGACTGTGCTTTAATTGGAAATAGTTAATAGTTAATTGTTAAATTTCTCGATTTGTGTCTTTGTGTGGAGTATTTATTAGTTATTTAGTCTAGGACGCCGAACCAAAACAAATGTATTTGTTAAGCTAGCAAAAAAAATAGAAGAGAATCGAAGGGGGAAATATCTATTAACATAGTATATTATATATCGCCTTCAGTGTATTTACAATCCCTAAAAATATTCAAAAACTAATTAAATATATTATTTCTCGTGTCTTTTCTCTTTTTAAAAATGAAACTCAAACGTTAAAAACTTGATAATCCAATTAATTGCTCTAGAATTCGATGGAAACACATGTTATTCACCAATTGGGAGTAGTAGACAACCTTTTTCTTTTAATTTTATGTTTTTTTTTGTTTGTATCGCTTAATTTTCTTTGCTTCAATTACAAATAAATTTCACAACTGTAAAAACCTTAAAAATACAGATGTATTTAATTGCTAAAGAGCTAGGGCCCATTTCAAACCCCAGGTAATCCAAAAAAAAAAGAGAGCTTTTTAGATCTGGGACTAACTTCCGGTGCAAGCAAGGGTGAAAAGTTTGAGGGCGGAAATGTGGGACAACAAAATTCACCTAGCTCTTCCTTGTCGCGTCTTATTACATATCGCCTATCATATGTATAATAATTAATATAAGATGTGTGTGTTATGCAAACTAACTTCTACGCAATTCACAATTCGCTTTTCGTTTATTTGTGTAATTTTTTGTTTGTTTTCTTTTATGTTGCATTAACTTTAGTTATATTTTATATATATATATTAACTATATAAACTTTTTATTCATTTTTTACATGCACAATCTCATGAGGCCAAAAACGTAGACAATTTTGTTAATATATCGTGTGTCGGTAGTGTGTTTTACTCGCTACTCATTACTCGCTCTCTTTTGCCTTTACTTTTACCTAAGGAAAAAAATCTATAGAATTATGGTCCTAAGACTTATCTTTAGAGAGACCGAGTGAAACTGAACTTCCTAGCCGCTTCCTTACTTCTTCATATAGCATATTTATATATTTATTTTATATATATATATATTTATAAGTCGTACTAGATTTCTTGCTAAATATTTTCTTCTTTTCTGACCGGAGATTTGCTGACAACAAACAATCGCAATACATAAATCATTATGTGGCTGTGTTTCGTATTCATATTAGAAGTATGCTTGTTATATATGTATAAAGGGCGTGTAATATCAATTAACTGTAAATTGCCAGGGTTGGATTTAAAGGTGCTTGGTGACATGGACAAGGGTAAGGACACATGGACACACGGTTGCGGTTATAGAGATTACCTGGCATGTGTTCTACGAATACTCCCCATCTTCCTCCTCCTTCGCAAAACAACATAAAAAAATATAGGGAACACGTGGGGCGAAGGTGGAGGAGACTGGAGCTGGTAGCAAACGGATGATTTGAGATTTGGAGATTGTGTGTGTGTTGTCGTGAGTGTCGTCTTCGGAGGAGCTTCGGGTTGAGTGGTTCGACTAGGCTGTGAGCGGCCTTCCAGCTTCTGAGTTCGCATTTAGATCTGGCCAACCAGCTCCTGTATGCTGCGCAATAAGTCTTCCATATTTCACAAGAGATCCCGATGGAATACCCAGGTGTGTTTTGTATGGGCAAACTTATGGGACAGCCACTGCGACTCCAGCAGGTTGAAGCGATCCTGGCTCAAGTACAGCGGTTTGCCGCGCCTGCAAGGAAGGGATTGAAGCAAATGTTTGATATATCACAAAAGAACACTCACTTGAGATCCCGATCCTCCTCATCAAAGTCGTCCAAGTAAAGGGAGCCCCACAGGCAGGCACGACGGCCGCGTATAACGATAATATACGTCGAGGTCACCACCAGGAAGATGCCAATGCCGCCGCCGCAGGATAGGGTGTGCTGCACACATAAAAAATACAATATATACATTATAGCATATAATAGAATATAGGATTAAGCTGACACTCACCCGCACCGCCTCGCAGCAATCGTTCTCTGCACAACAGTTCTGTTTGAGGCACACAATCGTCCCGCACAGCAGGCAGATGGAGCTCTCCTTGGGCACCTTGTAGCAGTTGAGGCAGGGCCGTTCGTGGTAGTACTGCCGAGAGAAAGAAAAATATATACATTTAGCTTAACGATTCCAGATTTTGGTTAATGTTAGGTTCTGCCTCACCGTAAACAAGCGCTCGTACTCGCGCGGCAGCTCGAGGAGTCGCGGCTGTTGCCACAATGAATGCTGATTGATAAGCACCAATTCGCGCACCGTATCCGTTGGCGGTCGCACGTCCATAAGCTGCTTGCACCAGAACTGCGGCAGAGTCTGCTCGGTGCCGGGTATAAAGCACAGGCCCTTACTGGCATTGAAACAATCCCAGTCCATGGAATCGGTGACCAGTTCCAGGTAGTAGACGAGACGCACAAACTCTAGCGGTGGCGCCGAAATCTCTGGCATCTCGTGGTGATACAGATGCTGTCGCAACAGGGCGGCCACACGCAGAAAGGGCAGGCACAGCGTTTGCAATTGCAGTTCCATGGACTTGAGGTTGACCTCGGATGAGGACGAGGAAGAGGCTGCTGCGGCTGTGGAGGCTGCTGCTGCTCCTGCTGATGAGGAGGCTGCTGCGGATGGGGAGGCTGCGGCGGAAGTAACAGTAACCGTGACGCCGGAGGATGTCGAGGCGGTCGCTGCTGCTGCTGCTGCCGCAGAACTGCTGGTGCTGGGTATGCTGTCTCGTCGCAGATGCGATAACTTGTTCGTATGCCGAAGCACCAGGGCCATGGCCTTGCCCAGCTGCGAGGAGTTGGCCTTCTGCTGATGGTGGTGGCCACCAACAAGCCGGCGGCGTGTGTACGTCGAACTAGCCGTGGCAGAGGCTTCCCCAGCGGGACTACTATCACTGTCGGCGGCGCTGCTCCCGTAGGTGGCCAGTATATGATCGCACTCGATATCCGTGAGAGTGACACACAGCTGCACCACTATTTGATAGTACAGCAGGTTGTACATCACCTTCACCATGCAGGTAAAGTAGTCTGTCAGGATAGAGAGAGAGATAGATAAATACAGGATATTGGGAGGAAAGTAATGTAGATAACACTTACCCTGATCGAGATGCAGCGGCGCCAGCAGGATAAACTTGAGCAGCAGCGCTATGGGATCCGCCAGCAGGCTGGGTATCAGATCCAGGCAGTGAGCCGGCAGGGGTTCCGTTTCGCTCACCGGCAGACCGGCCAGCGAGGCCCAGCTGCTCCACAGCGGCCACTCCGCCAGCACTCGGACATGGACCGACAGCACATGTAGCAGCGGCACAATGCAGTCCCGCTTCGGCTTGTACCGCGTGGCATTCGCCGAGCACAGCGATCCGCCACGCTGTATGATCTCCGCCTCCAGGTTCGTGCGCGCAATCGAGGTGACAAAGATGAACAGTTTGTGGAACGTGATCGAGGCGCACTTGACCTTGCGCTGGGCTATATTGGTCATTACCTCCATGGCATGGCCCATGGCCTCTGTTAGCTTTGTGGGCTGCTAAAAGTAAGAAATAAATGTTAGAAGACGCACTGGGATGGATCCCAAGGGATCCCTAACTCTATATACTCACCGGTATCGTCTCGTTCTCCTTGATCAGATCGGTTAGGTCGGCCACGAGGCGCTCAAAGGGCTGATTACCCGAGCGCACCAGATGCGTGGGCCTGTCCAGCTGCGGACTGAGCGGCAGCACCGAGTTCGAGAGCTGCCGGCACACTGGGCAGTAGAACTCACCACGATCCTGCACCGGCTGCCGCTGAGTGGTGTACAGCGTCTTGAGGTACGCCTCAAGGCAGCCGAGATGGACGTGGTGGCCGCACGACTGCACATGGACGCCGTTGTCGTAGGCCATGTTGTTTGAGAGATACCAGGACTCGTCGCCGAATTTCATGCTGAGCAGCTCCGTGCGCCGTGCGAACTCGGCGGCCAGACGGGTGGCATGCGCCAGCTGGTACTCATCCTCCACGTTTAGCGGCAGGGGCAGTCTCTCGGCTATGCGCCGTCGGTGGCCAACGATGCCGCTGGACTCGACCAGCACCACCAGGCCGATGGGATTCGTTTCGGTACTGGGCGTGGTGCAATTGCAGATAATGCAGTCGTATTCCTTCTCGCGCGGCTGCTCCTCGTATAGCTCCTCCTCGTCCTCGTCCTCCAGGCCGTAATCCATGCTGCTGGCCGCCGCGGCCGCCGACTGCATGAACTGCTTCTGTTTGTTGGCAAAATCCTGCATCATCTTCTGCTGACGCTCACGCGCCTTCTTGCGACGCTCCTCCTTCTCCTTGGTCTCGCGCGCCTTCGCCTCCGCCTGTTTCTCGCGCTGGTTGGGCCAGAGGCGGGCTCGAATCTCGTCAATGCTCAGCGCGCAGAGTTCGTCCTGCTTGGCGATCTTTCGCAGCAGGTTGCCAATGAAAAAGGGTCCGTCGCCAATCCGCGAGGTGGACACGTGGATGTTCTTGTAGTTGCGCATGCCGCCACTGGCACTACCGCGTCCTCGCTCAGCCAAGGCAGTGCTCGAGGTGCTGGCCTCATTGCAGTCCACATCCATGGAATCCTCGGTCCCCGAACCTCGCTCCTCGCCGTCGCTCAGCGAGAAGCTATCCAGCGTGCCCGAGAGCTGCGAGTGAAGCTTGAGCAGCAGCGACAATATGCTCTCGTCCAGATTCAGCTCATCCTTGTTGCTGCTGACGCCACCGATGGCAATGTCCACGGATCGTTTGCGTGCTCCGCCAGCCTCATAGTTCATCCGCCGGCCACCACCGCCGCCGCTGCCACTGCCCATGGCGCCGCTGACGCCCGAGGTGAAGCCACCGCCGCCGACACCGCCGGCGCCGACATTCGATGGCACAATGTCCATGTTGACGCTGCTGCTGGGCACGGCCACGGGCTGGACCCGCTGGAAGGGGAGCAACATGCCGCTGCCCGTGGGCGTTGTCGGGGAGAACATTTCGTTGCTGGCCGGCGGCGGATGTGTGATTCCAGCAGCTCCGGGTCCAGTTCCAGCTCCGGCTCCCCCATTGTTCGTTTCGGCAAGCAGGAGATCCCTTCGTATGGCCACCTCCATGCCGCTCTCCGGCAACGTGATCTGCTGCAGCGGGAAGTGAAAGTCAAGGGCGGCAGCGGGGCTCATGTCCATGGCATGATCATCACCATCCCTTAGCAGCTCATCATCGTTGCTGTCCTGTCGGATCACTACGCCCGTTTCGGCGACCACGGATAAATCGGGTGGCAGGGCCACCTCCATGCCAGGCACTCGCATTAGAGCCAGTGTCTCCGATACGGTCCGTCCTCGGACACCGCCCACTGGTGCCAGTCCCAGGGCACCGCCGCTAGCGCCGCCGCCGCTTCCTCCTACAGCGCCGCCTCTTGTGGCATCTTCGCCCTCCATTTCAGACTGGCCAATCATGCGCAACGCCTGGTCCGGTTCCCCGTCGACATCAAAGTCAAGATCCGAGTAGAACGGATTGGAGCGGTAGCTAGAGGTGACCACCTGCGGGTCGCGTGACTTCAGCGACACCTTCTTTACCATCTGACGGAGATTGCAGCTGAGATTGTCCGTTGGATAGCACTGGAACAGCTTGGGCGGCTCCTGGCAACCAGAGCCGTAGCCATGATGATAGCCCAAGCCGCCTGTTGACTCAACCATGGCAGCAGCAGGCGGAGCACCGCTGCCACTAACACCACTGCCACCCACATCCTCGCTGGTCTCCACGGCAATTTCGAGCAGGAAGACGGCCAGGGCCAGCACATGCTCCGAGACATCGCGCGTGTGGACGGCACGGAATAGGATCGACAGGATGGTGGAGTGGAAGACGCGCGAGTTAAGGATGCGGCAGGGATCGCTGAAGGAGCTGGTGGCGGGCAGCGCCTGAGGCAGACGGAACGGCGGCCACAGATTACCGCTTGCCGGCATCTTGTCCTTGCTTTTCACATAGTTGGTGAAGCGATCCAGCGACGACTGGAAGTCGCGACGATGCACGGCCCTCAGGAGGACATGCAGTGGGTCATAGTGCTTCTCCCACACCTCGTCGATGGGCGTGAAGAGGCCCTGTTCCAGGTTCTCGCTGCCGCTCGACGGCGCCTTGTACACGGACAGCTTCTTGAGGAAGGTCTCAAAGTTCTTGGTGTGCACGTTGCCCGATCGTTCCGGCATCAGCTCCAGGAGCTGCGAGTGCGTCTTGTTCTCTGTGGAGAGCAGCGCACTGATCTCGATGATGCACTGGGTGGCCTCGTCGTTGCCCAGGTTGGTGCGACTTGTGACCAGCGTGGCCAGGAAGGTGAGGAAGCCCTCCAGCATCGACGACTGCTCCGTTTTTTGCGTCTGCTTCAGCGGCGCCGTCTCTAGCCACTGGGCCACGTCGAACAGCTCAATGGTTTTCTGCAGGAAGAAGTACTGCGGCAGGTTGGTGGCACAGATCTGCAGGAAGAACAGATCCATATCTGCCATCGAGTTGCAGAAGTTCGCCTGGATGTAGGTCATGGCCTGGCCCTTGATCTGCAGTCCATTCCGCACCCATTTTCCGGCCAAAATCTCGTAGAAGAAGCTCTGTAATGATGCAATTGGAAAGGAAATAAAATTAAAATTATAATTTAAGTAAAAGAAAGAAAGGAAGCTAGATTCGGGAAGACGAAGTCTGTATACCCTTACAATTTACAATTGGATCAGGATTCCGAAACAGAAATTGATCATAGCTAAGCCAAAAATGCATTAATTTTAATTTGGAAAAACTGTCCTATGTTGGATATTTTAAGGGTAACAAATCTGCATACTCTATTTAAAATGTAAAAAAATTAAAATTTTTTATACATTTTCTGACAATTTTAACGATGTAACCCCTTATAAAATTTCGAAAAAATTTAGTAAAATTATTTTTCCACCAGACATGGCTAAATCGATTCGGATTTTGATGCTGATCAAGAATATATATAATATATAGGGTCGGAAATGACTCCTTCACTGCTTTACCAGCTTCTGATTAAAATTTAAATACCATTTTTTAACCCATATTTATCTACTTTTTTATATGACAATATTTAAGACAAATCTAAATTTAAAAATATCATAACTCTGCCAAAAATGCATTAAATTTAATTCGGAAAGCTGTCCCATGTTAGTTTTTAAAAGGATAACAAATCTGCATACTCTATTTAAAGTGTAAAAAAATTAAAATTTTTTATAAATTTTCTGACAATTTTAATGATGATAAAATTTCGAAAAATTTAGTAAAATTATTTTTCCACCAGACATGGCTAAATCGATTCGGATTTTGATGCTGGTCAAGAATATATATAATATATAGGGTCGGAAATGACTCCTTCACTGTTTTACCAGCTTCTGATTAAAATTAGAATACCATTTTTAACCCATATTTATCTACTTTTTTATATGACAATATTAAAGACAAATCTAAATTTAAAAATATCATAACTCTGCCAAAAATGCATTAAATTTAATTCGGAAAGCTGTCCCATGTTAGTTTTTAATAGGGTAACAAATCTGCATACTCTATTTAAAGTGTAAAAAAATTAAAATTTTTTATAAATTTTCTGACAATTTTAACGATGTAACCCCTTATAAAATTTCGAAAAAATTTAGTAAAATTATTTTTCCACCAGACATGGCTAAATCGATTTGGATTTTGATGCTGATCAAGAATATATATAATATATAGGGTCGGAAATGACTCCTTCACTGTTTTACCAGCTTCTGATTAAAATTAGAATACCATTTTTTAACCCATATTTATCTATTTTTTTATGCGACAATTTTTTAGACAAATCTAAATTTAAAAATATCATAACTCTGCCAAAAATCCATTAAATTTAATTCGGAAAGCTGTCCCATGTTAGTTTTTAGTAGGATAACAAATCTGCATACTCTATTTAAAGTGTAAAAAAATTAAAATTTTTTATAAATTTTCTGACAATTTTAATGATGATAAAATTTCGAAAAAATTTAGTAAAATTATTTTTCCACCAGACATGGCTAAATCGATTCGGATTTTGATGCTGATCAAGAATATATATAATATATAGGGTCGAAAATGACTCCTTCACTGTTTTACCAGCTTCTGATTAAAATTAGAATACCATTTTTTAACCCATATTTATCTACTTTTTATATGACAATATTAAAGACAAATCTAAATTTAAAAATATCATAACTCTGCCAAAAATGCATTAAATTTAATTCGGAAAGCTGTCCCATGTTAGTTTTTAATAGGATAACAAATCTGCATACTCTATTTAAAGTGTAAAAAAATTAAAATTTTTATAAATTTTCTGACAATTTTAACGATGTAACCCCTTATAAAATTTCGAAAAAATTTAGTAAAATTATTTTTCCACCAGACATGGCTAAATCGATTTGGATTTTGATGCTGATCAAGAATATATATAATATATAGGGTCGGAAATGACTCCTTCACTGTTTTACCAGCTTCTGATTAAAATTAGAATACCATTTTTTAACCCATATTTATCTATTTTTTTATGCGACAATTTTTTAGACAAATCTAAATTTAAAAATATCATAACTCTGCCAAAAATCCATTAAATTTAATTCGGAAAGTTGTCCCATGTTAGTTTTTAATAGGGTAACAAATCTGCTTACTCTATTTAAAGTGTAAAAAAAATTAAAATTTTTTATAAATTTTCTGACAATTTTAACGATGTAACCCCTTATAAAATTTCGAAATAATTTAGTAAAATTATTTTTCCACCACACATGGCTAAATCGATTCGGATTTTGATGCTGATCAAGAATATATATAATATATAGGGTCGGAAATTACTCCTTCACTGTTTTACCAGCTTCTGATTAAAATCAGAATACAATTTTTTAATTCATATTTATCTATTTTTTATATAACAATATTTAAGACAAATCTAAATTTAAAAATATCATAACTCTGCCAAAAATGCATTAAATTTAATTCGGAAAACTGTCCCATGTTAGTTTTTATTAGGGTAACAAATCTGCATACTCTATTTAAAGTGTAAAAAAATTAAAATTTTTTATAAATTTTCTGACAATTTTAACGATGTAACCCCTTATAAAATTTCGAAAAAATTTAGTAAAATTATTTTTCCACCAGACATGGCTAAATCGATTCGGATTTTGACGCTGATCAAGAATATATATAATATATAGGGTCGAAAATGACTCATTCACTGCTTTTCAGACGTCTAACTAAAATTATAATAACGCTGAGAGTTCAAAATAGGGAAATCGATCATTACAAAATAAATAAATAAATAACTGCAACTTGGCTACTCCGATTACCGATATCCCGCAGAGTAAACAAAACTAGCTTCTTGACACACCGATGACCGATAGTTATCGAAACTCGTTTTGGGAATGTCAACTCTCTGAGCGGCGCAGCTGATGTGCTCACCAAGCATGCCAGCCTGCTCACTCCAATGCTGTGACCTATGTATGCTGGCGCTCTCTTCCCCCTGCCAACAAAAAGAACCGTTTGTGACAAAGCATAAGGCAAAAAATAACAAAGAAAAAGAGCGTGTCTACATATGTGTGAGTGTGTGTGCGTCAGTGTCTGAGTCTGCAAGGGGCAGAAAAAGAAAAACACAGCACACATCACATTTCATCTCATTTTTTAATCAATCTCGGAGGCAGCGCAGGCAGCGGTTCAAATTCGAGCCCCAGAAACCGAGCCAAACTCAACTCTCTGTTGTTTGTGGCGGCCGCATTCGCGTTTCGATTTTCAGCGGGCTCAGTTGCGTGTCAGGCTGTAGTGTGTGTGTGTGTGTGTGTGTGTAAACAATTCCCGTATAAGCGAAATTTAATCATAATATTTAAGGCTCCCCAAAGCCAGCGTTATCGCCACCTCCGATCTGATTTAAAGCAAACAAATAACGCACACACGCCGCATCTCCGCCGCCGACACCCGATATGATGGAGTTTAGGAAATGGGGACTTCCCCTGCTGCTGGCCACTCTCATTTCCCTGCAACAGCCGCCGCCGGCAGAAGCGCTGATCGAGGACGTCCTGGACATCATCCATGTGGTCAAGGAGGTCACCTCCGGTGTGCTCAAGGCCTGGGACATTGTCCAGTCCTCGCCACTGGCGGCCAACATTGACTTTCCGCTGATGCGGGAGAAGCAGAAGAAGGTCTTGCAGCGCCTCAAAGAAGTCAGCAAGCAGATAGACCACACCGAAGAGCAAGTGAGTCAGAGGTGGTTGAGAGTCACAAGCCACTCTAATTTCCACCCCGGTTTCAATACCCTTGGAGCGGATACTTTATAGGGTATATAAGTGTTGAATATCCGCATTTTGATTCTAATTTTTTGTATTTACTAGTTCAATTTTAAACGAAACTCCCGAAACTAATGAATTTTAAACATTCGGAATGATAGAAGTAATACTTCTTGAAAATAATCAATTGTTAGTTATTATGGACATAAATGAATAACTTGACTAGTTTTAAAGATCAAGCAAAAAGTCTAGAGCTACATTTTGTCTAATTCCTATGCTAACTGCAAGGGTATACGACGTTCGTATTACTGATCAAACTTTCTCGACTGAAACATCTAACCTTCTTCTTTTTCGGAAAAACCCACTTCAGCACGCTCAATATGTTGCCTTGGCCATCGAATCTGTGACCAGCTATATGCACAACAACGCCCCCATTATGGCCAAGATGAACGACATCACGGACACGATCAACAGGATCTCGTCGCGCTACCAACAGATGCAAAACTACGAGGCCCACAAGGACAAGCTGGAAATGTCCACGCTTATAACATTTGCCGAATGGACAGTGTCACCTAATGCCCACTCCGTTCATCATCTGATGGATCGATTGCATATAACTCTACTGGGGAGCGAGGATAGGGCCAATGCCACATCGAACAACCTGCTCGCGCAACTGGTCACCGCCTACGAGGTAATACAGCCGGGCTATAATGCCACGAAAATTATTAGTAAGACAAGATAGCACCATTAGGAGCACGTTTTTTAATCCAAAGGGATAGAAGTTAGATCTTAGAAGAACTTTTGATGTAGGACGATATCTAAGAAGGTAGATAGTGTGATAACTTCAAATCAGTGTCCCACTTTAGCTGCCCGCTTGTGGCATTACGTTCCACTGTACTTAATGGTGGCTGAACTGAGCTCGTGAATGGGGTGTCAATTTGCGAATCGCTTCCTGCACGGGCTACACTAACCCGGAATATGAATCACTATCACGATCATGATAATGCCCATGCCTTGCATTCCTCTCCGAGGAATTGGATGCGGGTCTAGACCTGAGACGTAGCGCGCAGGGTCTTTAACTTTGGATGATGAGCATTATAAACTCGACTTTCCGGTTGCGGCCGCGTCACTTGTTAATTCGGCAAAAGAAAGTCTTTGCAGGGTATTAGTCATCGTCATCCTCATCAAGTCGTGGTCGTTGTTGCTAAATAACGGTAAACAAAGCTTGAAAGCAAGAGCTTCCACGCACTTTATGCAAAATGCTCGCCAAAACAGAGGTTTTATCCCCCCTTTCTGGATCTGTATGTGTGCGTGAGTGTCGGTGTAGGTTCTTTTTTGTATTTGCGTGAGGTCAAAGGTCTGATGTCAACAAAAGACTGCGGGACAAGTTAAACAAAACAAAAATAAAAGAAAAACACAGTCGAAATGAAAACAAACGGCAGAGGGCAATGCAGCAGTGCCGCCCCCATGCAGAGAGCAGCACCAGCAGTGGTGGCAGAGAGCGCATCTCTTTGTTTGTGTGCATTGCGTCAAGGTGGGAGCGGGATAGCCCACGCACTGCAGGGTGAGAAAGAGAGAGGAAAGCGAGGAGTGAGAGCACTCACAGCTGTTTGGCATACCAATTACACGGGCACAACAGTAGCAACAACAGCAACTGTAACACAAACAATGAGAGTGAGAGAATACAACTTTCTAGTTATCGATTGGCTGTTCATGTGCCAAATGATCGCCAAATCGATTGCATTGTATAATTAAGTTAGCCACTTGCAGTGTATCATTTAAGTCGCCACAGCCGAGGAATTTAACCAAACAAAAATTTGCTCAATTCGTGATTGCGGGCGCGCTGCTATTGCTCACCAATACTGATGCCTGCCAAGAATAAACAAAAACAACAATGGGGCACGTAAAAAGAGCTTCCAGTCGTCAGCGGATTCGTCGTACACACATAAACACACTCACACACACACTCAAGCGAGCGGAGCTGAGCGAAGCGCTTTAAAACTGAAAAAACTGAAAAAATCACAGTAGCCGACCAGCACTCAGAATCACAGCACACACAGCAAAAGACGTGTAAAAAAAACTAAATAGGCGAGCGCGAATTAAAGTAAATCGCAAATAACGCACAATCAGTTTTGGGAAAAATTTAAGTGAACAAAAGTCCTAAAACGGGACTGTGTTGTCCCCAGCAAGCAGTGCTCTGTCCGCCAGTGCACAAGCAGTGCAAGCAGACAGGGAGGCAAGCAGGTGGACGCGTGTCGTCGCTTCTTCTTCTCCAACGAAGAAGGAAGAAAGGGAAGCTCGAAATATTCAGGAAATCCCCTGATTAGTTTTATCCGTTGAGCGGATATTACTTATCGTTAATACGTACGACGCACCACACACACGCTCAAAATGGCGTCGCCTGGTATCGCTGCTAGTGCCCTTGCCGCCACCGCCGTTCTCTTCTTGGTGATTTGTTGCGTGGAATCCGCAGCCTCTACCTCCGATGGATGGATACATCCGCGCACCCCTCAACTGGAGGTGGACGCCATGCGCACCGAGTACATTGCCTTGGAGCGTGCTCTGTGGGATTATCTGGCCAAGACGGCCAACAGTCAGAACAACAAGGAAACGCAGCTCCGCAAGGTGTTTGATTCTCATCGCGACTTTGATGCCAAGCGCCTGATGGGACACAACTTTGAGGAGCATCGTTACGAGCTGCTAAATCACTACGAATGGTCGCTGCTGGAGCGGGATCTCATCTACATCAGCAAGCTGTACGAGGCCTACAAGGTACGATCAGAGGACGAAGATTTCTGCCCAATAAGGGATTAAACTATGATAGTAATCCGTTCAATCTGCTTCAATAGGAAACCTTTGTGAGGCAAAACTCTAGCGCTCAACTGGATCAACTGGCTGTGCTGGATCTGACCCGGGAAGTGCTGCGGAATGACAACACCATCTCGATGCCGCGCATCCTAGCGGAAATCGAGCGAGTGATGGTTCAACAGACGCTCTACTATCGCGCTATGATCGTTAGTTGACTTTAGTACAAGATACTAAATAAGAGATCAAGGGGATATCATTTATAGAAAATTCACTCCATGCTTATAATGAATAGATTTTCAGAATGAAGAATCGATAGACTTTGTAGCCAGAAACCACTGATTTACGTAGCAACTTCTAACCAACTATTCAAAATAATCTCCCTTCAAAATCTGCATAGTTTCCAACTTAATTTTAGTTGGTGAAATTTTGACAAGCTTTTGAAAGAAATGTAGACACGCGATCAGCGTAATTAACTACATTCTGATGAATCGTTTTTTATAGTTATATAGCGATCTTAATGGCCAGATGTTACGAGCTTAATTAGAGCTAAAAACTAACAGAAGACTGCTCACTGGCTCGAGTTACTAAGGAAGGAATGCATCCCACAGCTGTGCAGCTGCTGGACATTAGCCATATATCTGCTGACATTTCTAGTAAATATTCTATCCATTTTTCAGGTGTCTACCAATCAGATTTGCAACACACAGCAGTCGGCACAGCAGTTTGTGTACTCTCTGTACGCAGATATCGCTCTGACCGAACTGAAGGCCTACACTATGATGGAGTTCTCGTGGATGATGCTTCGCGTGTACGGCAAGGGCAACTTTACCCAGGAGGCCGAGCTGATGCGAGCGGATTACGAGAAGCGTACGGAACGCACGCTGAAGCTGCTAAAGGACGTAATGTTGCGCGCCGATCGTATCGTTTATCGCTGTGATCCCGACAAGTATGTGAGGGGCGTCAACTATGACGAGGTAACTCGCCTGCTGCAGGGTTACATTGAGAACGAGGTGGATCTGAACAATGAAGAAACGTGCCGGGAGACCTGTTCCTTCTACCAGTCTACTCGCAGCGAGGGCTGCTTCAAGGATCTCTACTGTGCCCGCCAGCCCCGGTGCTCGGGTCGCTTGTACAACTGCCAGTTCGTGGATAGCGACATGTGGGTCTGTCCATCACCTCAGAATAGCACCAGACGGTACGAATTCATTGAGTATGAGAATGGACGCGTCCTGGGACAGAGGGCCAGGTGCACCAGGGGCACCACCAAGGTGGATAGTTGGTGGCGCTATCTACTCTGGCACTGCAGCTACTGTTTCTGCCTCTGCGACGAGCAGGGCCTAAAGTCTGATCGTTTCTTTAGCCTGCGTGATTCGGTGGCCGATGTGAAGCGCAACAGGTAAGGATGCTTAGAGACCCTAGGAATATTCCCATAATCTTATATAGCATTTCTTTCTTTTAGGGTTGTGACTGGTTTACGCTTTGTGAAACTGAACCGCATATTCCACTTGCAAATTCAGGAGGGCGAACTCCTGCCCCGCGGCGCCATCAATCAGAGCACGTTGGAGTGGAAGCCCGTGGATAAATACAACATCTTTGATCGCGATGTAAAGAAGGGCGTCGACTATCACACTCTAAGCTACGAGAGTCGCACCATTGACCTGGACGATGTCAATACGGATGATAACAGCTTTGTGATAACCGGGGTGCGATTCAGGGTGGTGGGAACCCATCTCAATCTGGAGGCCTACTACAGCGAATTCGACTTCAAGACGGGGCAGCTCGTTCAGGTGGAGGGCAACAGCTATTGGAAGTCCAATGACAACACCGATGTCAGCAATAATAGCAAGGAGCGGAGGTTGGTATACCTTTTGTCAAGGAGAACTTGCAACGAATTAACTTCGATATACTTTTCCAGGGAGAAAATACGCCTGGAGAACGCTGACGTGTCCACGCGTACGATCACACCCTCGATACCTCAGTCGCGCCACAACCAGTACATTGACTTCACCAACACAGGCCTGGACAAGGATGCAGCGCAAAGCACAGTGCCGTTCATTGACATCCAGGACGTGATCTCGAATCCGCCGGTGCCGCTGTCCGGCATTGGAATCTATTACAAGGGACGCAATGGCTATGGTGGCTTCCTCGGCCCCAAGATCATCACGTATGACTTTACGCCCCACGTCCAGGTGCCCAAGAAGAAGTTTTAAAGGGGTCACGTAGAGATGAGGCGGTGGCCGCACATATGTCATAGCTTTCTTAGTTGTACACACACTACACACCCTTGTCGCGTAGTCCAAAAGGAGGGAGAACGAACGAAGCGCCAGGCAAGACGCGAATATAACTCAAATTATATTGGAATTTAGCCATAAACAAAACAAAAATAAAGAGAATCTGAATCTAAGAAACCCCCTAGAAAATCAAAGTCTATTTAATACATAGAAGATAAGGAGCAGGACTCACCTGGACACGGAGCGGATGAATCATCAGCAGGGGCAGCAGATATGGACGCGAGGGTAACACTTCACTCAGACTAATGCCCATTTTGGTAACCGCCTGGCAGACGAAGGCAGCCAGATAGCGATGCAATGGAAAGTGGAACGAGGCCTGCATCATCTCCTCCTGCGAAAAGGGCTAATTAAAAGGTGTTAGAGGATGTGTATACTCCACTCACCATCGACAGATGCGCCTCCATAAAGTATATAGAGTCCAGCCACTCATGCAGTGTCGTCACACAGTAATTGATAATCTTTTTGGCCAGATGGGCGTGCGTGCCGTCCTGCAGATGGGAGATAATCGACCACATGGGATAGGCACTGGCCTCCAGTTCACAGGAGAAGGCTGCATAGTAGCTGTTCGGCTCGAATTCCACATGGGAGGCGGTCTCCCGCACGTTAACGTTCATGCCTTGGAGCATTTGAAGGAACTGAAACCACATGTCGATGAGGTTGTCGTCCCTTAGAAAAACCAGAGCCACCGATTCGTGCGATAGGACGTTGTTGAAGTCCGAGACTAGCGGCCAATAGCAGTGATCCTTCATCACCTGGCGGGTGCAATCGATGACAAAGTGGAAATTCTTGGAGGGATCTGTGGGGAAACCAAACTCGATTTAGACCAATGCAAAGGGAAGAACTACGCTACGGTACGGAACTAACCATGCAGAGTGTTCTGTATGAGTATCTTGGACATCATTAGCTTTAGACTGATGATCATCACGTGCAGCAGCGACAGCTCGTTGACCATCTTGAGGGCTAGGCTCTCGTTGGAAAAGAGCTGGACGCTCATGTGCACCACACGGTTGCTGAGCGTGTCCGGATCGCGGGACATTTCCAGCACGGACGGTATGCGACTGTAGTGCATCACAAAGGTGCGGGTGAGGTGTTCCTATTGAGGAGATAAAAAGAGTCATTATGCATTCAAATGGAGCTGGCTTTCATCTCGCTACACTCACCTTGTAATCCTGATCTGGCAGCATGTTGAGCAGAAAGCAGACCAGAGTTTGCGGAAACTCAAACTTGAACGTCCAAAAGATAAACTCCTCAAGGAGTGTGGTGTGGACCAGAGTATCGCCCAGCGCTGGCAGATCTCTGTACTCATCGGGGGGCTCTGGATTTGGAAATCTGTTGACCGCATCCTCGTACTTTTCCCGGTTGGCCTTCAGAAAGCGTCCGTTGTTCGTGTCCAGGCACGGTGCCTCCATAAAGAAGGCATATACCTCTGGATTGATTAGCGTGCGCGTCATCACCTTGCGCATTATCTCGCCCATGTTGTTCAGATCGATCAGCATGTTGGCGAACTCCTCGCATAGGTACGAGGTCATTGCGTGCACCTGCAGCGAGGTGTCGCTATGCTCCCGGAAATGCTGCAACAGCCGGAACAGTAGCTTTGGCATAATGGCCTCGGCCACAGCCAGCAGATTATTTGGCACCGGATCACGATTCACCCGATTGTTAATGCCATGATCGCTGCAGAAGCCCTCGGCCTTCATCACGGATGTGTCGCCGCAGTCACAGGCACCGCCCGCCTGGGACAGGAACATGTTGAAGTCGTGGTTGGCATGATTGCCCTTCTTGAAGCAGTCCCGGCAGATGGACATGCAGGGCGAGATGCCGCAGGTGCGGCACCTGTATGCCACTACATGGGGCACCCACACCAGACCGCACTTGGCATGGTTGTCATAGCTGCGCACTGCAAACACAGAGAAAGAGAGAGAATGGAAATTAAATTACAAATTATTAGTGGCTTGGCGCAAAGTTGAAATAAGGTTACAACATTTAACTGAGTTAAGAGTGGGAAAGAGTGTGTCCGCGCTGCGTTATTGGATAAAAAGGCCTTTGAATTTTGTTTTTAGTTGTAGAACCATCAGGGAAATATTCGATTTTATAAGGTTTGGACGATGCCCCCCACTTTTAACCGCAAAAATTTTCCAAGTTTACCTGGTTAACATGAGAGCGCGTTGTCATTTTGTGTAAAATATTAGTGGAACTTCTACTTTTATATGGGACACGCATATAAGACCTATTTTAAGGCTCAGTAAACATACACAGGGAAACGCTTACTTGTGGTAAAGGATTTCAATGGATTATTCAATAATTTATTTATTCCCAAAGAAATTTTTAATTTCAAACTAATGTTTAACCAGACAATAAGAGAAAGAGTTTAAAATCCCTCAATAAAATAGGCACAGAATACATAATAAATATTTCAAAAAGGGTTTCCCAAAGGAATTTTAGGAGATAATTATTATAACGAGATAGACCTTTGATAGTTACATTTTCATTACAATAAGGAAGTTATTAGTTTTGAATTTTACAAATATTGAATTTAAATGTTTAAGTTACATGTACAGCCACAACATTTAATGCTGAGCTTATTACTAGTAAACCTTTAACAAACATACATATTTTTTGTAGATCGTTACTAAGGTAAAGATCACCTGCTAGTTTTATTATTAGTTCGGGGTATTAGTGCGGTGTAACCATCAAGTTTACGATTTATGTAACTCTTTTAATTGGGGTTACAGAGCATAAAGTAATTAAATGTTAATTTTTAAAGGAAAAAAGTATTATTTTTACGAGTAATTATTATTTCCCATTTTTGCTACACAAATTTAGGATAAACAATTAAAATAATATTACTACAATTGTATCTCACATCCCCAATCACAGGAATAATCGATTTTGGATGACCACCTGTAAATTGGGGAGCGATAACTTATCGCGAGGTAATCGAAAGAAAAAAAAACCCGTCGAGGCCAGCTGTTTTTGGCCACCTTGCTTTTGCGCTTGCCATTGCTATTGCTATTGATTTGATTGAGTTCCAAAAATAAATTGATGCACTCATTGCTTAGTTAATTTCGCTTGTTGCGTGACTCTTAGCTTTTGTCTTTGGGCTGCCGCTAGCTTTGCCGTTGCCGTTGCGTTCTGGCTTGGACCTTGCTGGCTGAAAAGGTCAACGTCGGCCGCAAGCGGAAGGAAATCAATCGACAATAAAAACAACAACAACAACAACAACAACAGTGGTAGTGGCGGTGCAGCGATAAGTTGATTGACAATTTTTGTAAATGGCGATCGATCGTCAGCCAAGTTGGCAACTCTCTGCGTCGCCCTCGCTCGCTCCCGCTTGTTTTGGCCGCCATCTATCCATCCCCCTCTAAGTGAGAACTTTTGGACAAGGTTCAGTGAAATCGAACGAATCAAAATCAAAGAAGCGAGTGGGAGCGAGGCAGAGGCAGAAAGTGGGGTGGGTGGCAGTTACACGGTGCATGGGAACGGAAAGAAGAGGTGCTGCACATACACTCTCGTAGAACATAACGGTCTTAGTCGGTCGGTCAATTGCCGATGACAGCTTACAGTGGGCCGCACACACACACTCAGGCACACACACTTGGTACACCGCACCTACTGTGCGTGAATTGGTGGCGTGTTTTGTCAAATCAACAACAATGACGACGGTCAATAAACTTTTGCAGTAGCGCATTAATTTCATGTGCAATTTTGCAATTGTTCTTCTATGCAAAAGGCCATCCAGCGTAAAGCGGTGACAAAAGGTGTCATGCTAGCCAAACAAGTGGCAGTGTAAATCTACATATAGGTTGGTGTGCGTCAGTTTTTGGTTTTGCTTTTGTTTTAGCTTTGCTTTTTTTTTGGACGGATGCTGCGGAAACATTTATTACGCAAGGCGAACAGCTGACACACAGGCTCAAGGTGCAAGCTGCATTCCACTGTGCGTGAGCTTGTGTGCATGTATCAGATAGCGCAGCCTCTGTCTGTGTGAGCTGACAAGTGGGACAAAACAAGAACGAACGCCAACCATAAACGATAAAAGCCACTTTGGCGACATACGCAGGCTGGCACAAGAAATAAGTAGTAATCATAAAAAAGTATGCACAAATACGGCACACACAGCATGGCAGATAGATGAGCAGTTGAGATTAAATTGGGCTAAAGTTGACTCCCCTAATCAGTGTGTGTGTGTGAGTGAGTGAGAGCGGTTGATTGCTGTTGCCATGGTGGTGCACTCGCACCGTACTCTTCATGCTGCCTTGCACCTTGCTGTTATTATGCTCTTCTCTCTCCTTCTGCCGCTCCCACACCCTTTGCTTTGCGTGCCCTACAACAATTTCATACACATACACAAACACACAACGCACATACACACAACACACATACAGCGCACAGGTATCTCGAACTCACACTTGCAGCGTTTCAGGGGCAACGGACTTGCCTGCGATCAGCTGGTCGCGATAGAAATGCAACACATATCGATAAATCGCATGGCGAAAAACTAGAGCTAAACTAAATTCATTCTCGGCGAATTTTATGCTTACCAATTTTCACGAACTCCTGCGGCGTCCGTCCGCCGGCAATTAGCCATCGTATCCACTCGATGTTGTCCGGATTATCGATGGGCGTGCCCGGATTGAACAGGGTGTCCATTATTGAGTCGAGATCGGGCGTGGGTCCGCCGCGGCAGCACTCTGTGTTGATCAAAGCGGCCACCTCCTTGCGGCTGCGCAGACTAAATGAGGAGGCGCCAAAGAAGAAGCTGGCCTTGGCGCCCGCATCGCCAGTCGATGCTCCTGGTCCGGACCCCGTTCCAGAGGCTGCCGTAGATGCTGCTCGTGGCGGCGGCGGTGGCGGCGTGGCTGCCGCTACACTGGAGTCCCAGTCATGAAAGGGGGAATGCGAGTTGATGGTTATGCTGGCATTGGTGGCCATGCTGGCTCCGGCCACAGCTGCTGCAGCGGCCACGGCAGATGCACCGCCGGAACTGGTACCGCCGCCTGCGGTCCGGGCCGTGGCGTTCATGCTGGTGCCCACCATAGCGATGGGAGCATTACTGTGTGGCAGCACATAGACGGAGGACAGATCTACATCGGAGGCATCGGCGTCCGCGTCCTCCTCCTCCATGGCCTCGCGTTCAAGCTCTACTGCCTCCTCTTCCTCGATGCTGATATCGGCATTGGAAAGGTTGTCATCCTCGTCCATGGCTCTCGATGTGTGTGAGAGAGAGAGATGAGGCGGTGGCTGTTGCTGAGCTGCCTGTGACTGGCGTTTGATATTTGGTTGTTGTTTGGTGACGTCGCCGCCGCGGCTGCTGGGATGATTTGGTTCTGGAATTCCACTTCTCCGTTTTTTTCTACGCTTCTTTTTGGAGGTTTTAAACAAGTTTTTCTTTTTCGGCTGCCGCGATTGCGGCGACTGCTGCCGCTGCTTCTGTTTATGGTGGCTTCTCCTTGCCCAAGCACTGTGTGTGACTTATTATTGTTGTTTTTGTCTGTGGACTAAACTAACTATTTGTTTATTGTGGAGTGTGCACTGCGTTGCGTTTCGTATTGAAAATTTTGGAACGTATAAAACGTTTAACTGGTATCACGAGGACTGTGTGTTTGGTGTTTCGCAGAGATATTGACGATTATACTGACGAAACGACGAGAAAACAGATAATTTCACAACACCAAAACATTTGGATCTTGACTCCGGGCTCAGTGGAGACTCTGCTCTGACATCTCCACTACGTTCTACTACAGCTGCTGATGCTTTTGCTCTGGCTCTGGCTCGGCTGACTCTCGGTTGCTCGGTTCAATTGACGTGACGTCGACCGCCCGGCCAGCTATATCCCCATCGTCTAGATCCAGAGTGTTTTTACTCCTTGTCAATTGTTTCCTTTGGTAATTTCTCGAAGGCAGCGCCTTGAATTTCGGTTTGCTTTGCTTTTCACGCTGTTTCATCCGCGAGTCTTGCGAATAAGAGATACGCACACATACTCGCGACGTTCGACGCACACAATCTCACACACAAGACACACACTCGCGCGCGGGGCACACACACCGTACACACACGCACACTGGCAAGTGTGGCCAAATATATTATTCGTGCATTGAACTCCCGAATTACACCAATATTCGCACTATGTCCGGGAATCTGTGGCCCTGCTCGGTGGCTATTTGTTGTCCGTGGTCCCCTGGCAGCCCGTTTGACCACCGCTTTAATTGCGAACGCGTTTAATCCTTGGCAATTTCGATTTGCTTGCTCCACGAATCCACGAATGAATAAAATCGATACACAAGAGAGTACCGATATCGATACTTAAGTATCGCATAAGAGGAGTATCGATAGTGAAGTCATAGTCATCAGAACACGTTCGATAGTATTGGTATCGATAGAATACTTCGAACAATTTTAAAATAAAAATGTATATTTAAAATAATAATAAATAATTAGGGGATGAGATTATATTAAAATTTATGATTTTAATATAAACTTGATTTGAATTCTTTTAGTTAAATTATTTTAAACTGAATTGCGCAAAAAAAAAATTCAACTGTAACCTTCTTCGCCACATCTGCATAAAATGAAATATATAATGTATATAAAATTTAAATAACAGATATTTATACTTTGCTTTTTTTTAATTTATGTTATTGCGATCTAAGCTCAGTCAATTTTCTAGGACTTGTGTATGTTAAAAATATAAATATATTGACCATCAAATGAAGCTATCGAACGCTTCGAATGCGAATCCCCAAAGTCGACTTCACTCCGATTTCCATTTTTTATTTCTATATTTATGCTGAATTGATGTATTTATATAAAAAATAAACGCAGCAGAACAATGTGGCCTCACACTTTACAGACGACGACCACGGCGACCGCCCTTCCTGCGGGTGGAGTCCGATGGGATGGGAGTCACATCCTCAATGCGTCCAATCTTCATCGAGGAACGGGCCAGAGCACGCAGAGCGGACTGGGCGCCAGGTCCGGGGGTCTTGGTCTTGTTACCGCCGGTAGCACGCAGCTTGATGTGCAGCGCGGTGATTCCCAGCAGCTTGCACTTCTCAGCCACATCCTAGAGGGAGAGTCAGCGGATTAATAGTGTTTTCGAATAGGGATTCGCTCCTCTTACCTGGGCAGCCAACATAGCGGCGTAGGGCGAAGCCTCATCACGATCAGCCTTCACCTTCATGCCGCCGGTGACGCGGGCAATGGTCTCGCGGCCAGACAGATCCGTGACATGGACAAAGGTGTCGTTGAAGCTAGCGTAGATATGCGCCACGCCGAAGACGATCTCGCCATCGCGGACTTGGGGTCCCAGCTGGACTTGAACCTCCTCCTTCTGAACTTTAGCTTTCCTGGGTGCCATTCTGTGGGATCTGCTCGACGATAAGCAACTAAAATGGAGAGCAATCACTCGTCAGTCACCGGTTCGCAAAACAACAACAACAGTTCCCGGGCACCACAAACAAACAAAAAAAAACAATAGAAAAATAATTCAGCAGCATCCACACCGTGCCGTCGATTATTCCCATTTTGGGTGGCATCATTGCATTGCCAGTCGATTGCACTAGCTGTTGCATCTTTCCGTTTGTGGCGCCCGATTCGCAAATCGCAATATTTTCACACAAAAAAAAAGTAAAGGGGGAGAAGACCGAAAACGAACCAATTGCTTGAACCGGATACGAAAAAGAAGGCAAAAACACAGCTGCTGAGCCGATAGTTATCGCAACAGGGTTGCTGGATAGACGCGCAATCGATAAGTCCCACGTAAAGTGTGGCAGCACTGGTCGTTCAAGTTTGCGATTTTTGTAAACATTTCACTAAAATAGCTGATTTAGCATTAAAAACATGCTCACAAAACCCCCTCTATACACAATTAGCATGCGAACTTGTTAGTCATTCGTTTTAGACAATCTTCCCGGTTTATTACAGTGCCTTCATGCACACAAACAGAATAGCGATGTTCTTGTCATATACACAAAAGCAGGGAACGGCAAAAGGAACATCCGGCATCCGGATTCCATCTCTCTACAGACGACGACCACGGCGACCGCCCTTCCTGCGGGTGGAGTCCGATGGGATGGGGGTAACATCCTCGATGCGGCCAATCTTCATGGACGAACGGGCCAGAGCGCGCAGAGCGGACTGGGCGCCGGGTCCGGGGGTCTTGGTCTTGTTGCCTCCAGTGGCGCGCAGCTTGATGTGCAGCGCGGTGATTCCCAGGGTCTTGCACTTCTCAGCCACATCCTACAGAGGGAGCAAGAGTACACACCTTTAGGGCCGAACTCCGCCAGAAAGCAGCAGGAAGAAACTCACCTGGGCAGCCAACATAGCGGCGTAGGGCGAAGCCTCGTCACGATCAGCCTTCACCTTCATGCCGCCGGTGACGCGGGCAATGGTCTCGCGGCCAGACAGATCCGTGACATGGACGAAGGTGTCGTTGAAGCTGGCGTAGATGTGGGCCACGCCAAAGACGATCTCGCCATCGCGGACCTGGGGACCAAGCTGAACCTGGACCTCCTCCTTCTGAACTTTAGCCTTCCTGGGTGCCATTACGAGGTGGTTAGTCGATCAGCAACTGCGGGATAGCAAGGGAATGCAGATTTATAACACACTGTGGCTTCACAAACACAAACACAAGTGCGTGCGCACAAACAAAACAAAAACATAAAAAAAACGTGGTCGCCCGGCGTCTTTTCTTCAGTTTTCAATCGAGCCATTGAGCACTCTTGAGTGGGGCACACTTTTAAGGCCTCAAAAGGGCTCTGGACACGGATTTTTAACAAAAAATTAAAGGGCAAAAATTGTGACGAACCACTTGCGTGAACCGGATATCAAAAAAGAAGGCTGTCATAGCTGTCAACAGAGCTACATAGACGTCAAAATCACTATCGATACTATCGATAATATAGTTAAGTTATTTTTTCGTCGCGGTAGATGGTAACACTTAAATCGATTTCGGCTCGGTGTTCATCGAAAATAAAGTATCGCCTTCGGGCATGTCTAATTGGGAACTTTTATAGGGAAATAGCTACTAATTGATGACAATGATGATGGAAAGCGTTAATTCGATCAAGAACATTGCGTGATTGCCGCAACGATAATAATAAAAATACTGGTAAATACCAAATTCGATGTTCTTACTTCAAGTTAAGCCGAAAGGTTTGGGCCTTTGCTAAATCGGCATCTTGGCGAGTCGTCATGGTATTTTTGGCAAAACAAGCGGTCACACAGATTTTTCTGAGCCACGGGACCCACCACCGGCCTTAGAATAATTATTGTTTTGTAATTAAACGGAATTTTACGTCTTTAAAGTTTCAAACACACACACACAAACTGTGGGGCCATCATGTCATGGGTCTCTGACTACCAGTACTCGTTGACGGAGAGAATAGCGATGCGTACGCTACGCATCTGTGGCCAGATACCACACCACGTCGCCTTTGTCATGGACGGCAACCGGAGGTTCGCCCGCTCCCAGCATATCGACAAGATCGAGGGTCATTCGCGGGGCTTCGAAAAGCTGGCGGACTGCCTCCGCTGGTGCCTGGACGTGGGCGTACGCGAGGTAACCACGTTCGCCTTCAGCATTGAGAACTTCAAGCGATCCAGTGAGGAGGTCGATGGTCTGTTTAATCTGGCGCGGGAGAAGTTCGATCGCCTGTTGCAGGAGACGGCACGGCTGGAGGAGCACGGTATACGCATACGGGTTATAGGAAACATAGAGCTGTTGCCGCCGGATCTGCAGAAGTTGATGGCCACTGCCATGCTGAGCACTGAGCGCAATGACAAACTCTTCCTGAATGTGGCCTTTGCATACACGTCACGGGACGAGATCACACAGGCGGTGGAGACAGTCCTTCGGCATGGCAACGAGGATATAGAACCGACAGACATCAGCGAGCGGCTGCTGGAGGAATGCCTCTACACACGGCACTCGCCGCCTCCGGATCTGGTCTTCCGCACCTCCGGCGAGACCAGGCTGAGCGACTTCATGATGTGGCAGGTGAGTGCTGCTCCTATTAAGATTAGCAGCTCAAATAGCTTCTTTCTTTTTCAGCTGAGCACATCGGTGTTGTACTTTAGCAATGTCCTGTGGCCACAGATCACGTTCTGGCACTTTTTGGCCAGCATTCTGGCCTACCAGCGCGACCGTTGGCAGCTGGACGACTTCCGGCGGAGGGAACGAATGCATAGCCTCCAATTGGCCAAGACCGGCGACTTTTATAGCGAGAGAGTGCAGAAATTCCTAGCCACCATTGATGAGGATAAGAGGAAACTGCTCGTTCGAGTGGCGGCCGCCAACTAAGGGCAGCAAAGTTGATGTTTTGTGATATGAGTGGCAAATAAATCCGGGTAAATACCACATATACCTATGTACATTCTGATTAAACGCATTTGCTCGAGCAGCTGCCTCTTTGCGGCCGAGAAGTGCGCTTAATAAGCTTATTTTTGCAATTAATTGAGTTGTATAATATTAGTGCAATAACGTTTCTGCCTTCCGTTTGATTAGTAAATTATATACAAAAGTTTATAACGACTTAATGACTCGTTTTGATTTGAATTGGGGGATCCCTTAAGCGTGTGTCCTTTTATTTCAGAGCCTGTATGGGTGGCAGTATTTGCAAAGAATGATTAGCTTTGGGGAATAACTTCCATTACTGTGTCTGGACCCAGTTGCATTAATTTGTTTTGATATTTCTGGAATTTAGCTTTGTTCTTTATCAAAGTTCGAAGCACTCCTGCTAATTTTTGTAAATTTGAATTCTAATTTCGATAAAGACATATCGATGGCACATTAGTGGTGAAATAGAAAACACGTATGCCCATTTAAGCGATTAGCCGATGAGGTATCGATATTTGCACAGGTTCTTCCTTACGTCACAAAATTATGTTTTTATGTCCTCTGACGTCAAGAAGAATACGTCATGGATCTCGTCATTTGGAAGATATTTAATGTGTAATTCAGAATAATTGATATTTTTAATTTTCCAGAGCGACTAGAAACTATCGCATAAAAATGTAGATGTATTGAAACATTTCTCTCATCCCTAAACAGCAGGCCAGGTGAAATCAGAATCAGGAGATATTTATTATATTGTGCCGGCTCTGCATGGAAATGTGTGTGTGAAAATTCAAATCTATTCTTACCGAAAATCAATCTAATATCTCCGAGGCTCCCGAAACCTGGATAACAGCACTCGCGGCTCGACTACTGAACGCCTATTCGAATCGCTTGAGACTCGATTTCTGGTGAAGATCTGCAAGGAATTGGCGTAATCATGGCCACTGTAGCCCTCATCACACGGCAGCGTATGTTTGCCAGCTCGCTGCGCCTCTTCAGTGGCCGTCACACGCATTGCCTGGCGGCTTTGCCGAGGATTGCCACTGCGAGTCCACCATCTTCGATAGTTGGCAGTGGCTTCTCCTCGGTGGGTACTACCGATCAGCGTGGCTTACTGCTGCCGCTCCAGCTGCAGCGCCACAACCACAAATCGTCAGCCACAACCACCACAAGCACCACCACCAGTCACTCAACGGATGAGGAGAAGAATGCGAAAGCTACCGCTACCTCGTCCACCGATCTCTTTGGGGAGGCGGCAAACATGTCACTGATGTCCAAGTTCAAGCACATGTACAAGAAATACTGGTACGTGCTCATTCCGGTGCACGTAGTCACATCGCTGGGCTGGTTCGGAGGCTTCTACTATCTGTCCAAGAGGTGAGTCTATCTTGAGTACCCTGGGATCTTCATTTAACATTTTCTTACATTCTTAGCGGCGTTGATGTCCCAGCGTTGCTGCAGTATTTGCATCTCAGCGAGAACATAATCCAAAAAGTGCAGAGCTCTCATATGGGTCACTATGCCATTGCATATCTGTGCTACAAGGTGGCCACGCCATTGCGCTATGCCCTCACTTTGGGTAAGGATTATCTTTGAGGCACCTTAGTATTCTGGTAACCCATATAAATACATCTTTCTTTGCTGCAGGATGTACCACTATTTCTATTAAACACCTGGTATTGCACGGCTATATTAAGCCCATGCCCACCAAGGATCAACTGATCAAGATGTACGAGGACAAGAAGGCGATCCGGGCCAGCGCCAAGGCGGACAAGGCCGAGAAGGATGAGACTAAATGATCTTTGGCCGCGGGCCGCGACGGCAACGCCGGCCCGCTTGTGTCGTTGCCGTTGCCACTGTCACACCAACATCCTAAGCCGTCGCCACGGATCGGGGATCAGCAGCAGCATCCGCGACAGACGGCCGCCAGCCAGCGGCGTGCTGCAGTTGACCTGTTGTCTTTTTTGTTAAACTGCCGCCGCAGCTGCTGGCACTGGTGCTCAACGAACTTAACTCTTGTCCGAAACCACAGTCGTCGCTCACAGAAGCCGCCGCCGTCGTCGTCGCCACAATGAGGCCACCAGCAATCACATAGTACATACCATACCCAATCCCATGCCCACGCCCACCCATTCCCTAGTTCGAGACACATCTTTAGTTGTGGGAGGTCGTGGGAAGACCCTGTCCCCCAAAAGAAACCATAATAACACGGAGAGTCACACACATACATACACAGAGCCGCAGGACCTGGAGTTCAGTTAGTCGTTATTTATATAGATATATTTTGTAAAGTGTGAGAAAGTTGTCGCAAAACAATAATAACTTAACTTTTATTAAATTTAAATTAAAAAAAGGCCCCAACAGGGAGCCACAAATTGTTGACATGAATGTTTTCTTGTTTTTAACAAAAGGGTTAAAAGATTCAAATGAGAAAAAATTAAAAATTAAGGCAAGATTCAAGTTGACCGATAAATTTGTAAAATTTAGTGAAACATGTTTTTGAGCTATCATCGATGGCCAAACGGAGTAATGGAGTCATTTCCGACCCTATAAATCATATATATTTTTGATCGGCATCAAAATCCGAATCGATTTAGCCATGTCTGGTGGAAAAATAATTTTACTAAATTTTTTCGAAATTTTATAAGGGGTTACTCGTTAAAATTGTCAGAAAATTTATACAAAATTTTAATTTTTTTTACATTTAAAATAGAGTACGCAGATTTGTTACCCTAATAAAAACTAACATGGGACAGCTTTCCGAATTAAATTTAATGCATTTTTGGCAGAGTTATGATATTTTTAAATTTAGATTTGTCTTAAATATTGTTAATAAAAAATAGCTAAATATCGGTTAAAAAATGGTATTCTAATTTTAATCAGAAGCTGGTAAAACACTGAAGGAGTCATTTCCGACCCTACATATTATATATATTATTGATCAGCATCAAAAATCCGAATCGATTTAGCCATGTCTGGTGGAAAAGTAATTTTAATAAATTTTTTCGAAATTTTTTAAGGGGTTACATCGTTAAAATTGCCAGAAAATGTATAAAAAATTTTATTTTTTTTACATTTTAAATAGAGTATGCAGATTTGTCACCCTAATAAAAACTAACATGGGACAGCTTTCCGAATTAAATTTAATGCATTTTTGGCAGAGTTATGATATTTTTAAATTTAGATTTGTCTTAAATATTGTTAATAAAAAATAGCTAAATATCGGTTAAAAAATGAAATTCTAATTTTAATCAGAAGCTGGTAAAACACTGAAGGAGTCATTTCCGACCCTATATATTATATATATTCTTGATCAGCATCAAAATCCGAATCGATTTAGCCAAATCTGGTGGAAAAATAATTTTACTAAATTTTTTCGAAATTTTATAAGAGTTTATATCGTTAAAACTGTCAGAAAATTTATAAAAAATTTTAATTTTTTACATTTTAAATAGAGTATGCAGATTTGTTACCCTAATAAAAACTAACATGGGACAGCTTTCCGAATTAAATTTAATGCATTTTTGGCAAAGTTATGATATTTTGAAATTTAGATTTGTCTTAAATATTGTCATATAAAAAATAGCTAAATATCGGTTAAAAAATGGTATTTAAATTTTAATCAGAAGCTGGTAAAGCAGTGAAGGAGTCATTTCCGACCCTACATATTATATATATTCTTGATCAGCATCAAAATCCGAATCGATTTAGCCATGTCTGGTGGAAAAGTAATTTTAATAAATTTTTTCGAAATTTTATAAGGGGTTACATCGTTAAAATTGTCAGAAAATTTATAAAAATTTTTATTTTTTTACATTTTAAATAGAGTATGCAGATTTGTTACCCTAATAAAAACTAACATGGGACAGCTTTCCGAATTAAATTTAATGCATTTTTGGCAGAGTTATGATATTTTTAAATTTAGATTTGTCTTAAATATTGTCATATAAAAAATAGCTAAATATCGGTTAAAAAATGGTATTCTAATTTTAATCAGAAGCTGGTAAAACACTGAAGGAGTCATTTCCGACCCTATATATTATATATATTCTTGATCAGCATCAAAATCCGAATCGATTTAGCCATGTCTGGTGGAAAAATAATTTTACTAAATTTTTTCGAAATTTTATAAGGGGTTACATTGTTAAAACTGTCAGAAAATTTATAAAAAATGTTAATTTTTTTACATTTTAAATAGAGTATGCAGATTTGTTACCCTAATAAAAACTAACATGGGACAGCTTTTCGAATTAAATTTAATGCATTTTTGGCAGAGTTATGATATTTTTAAATTTAGATTTGTCTTAAATATTGTCATATAAAAAATAGCTAAATATCGGTTTAAAAATGGTATTTAAATTTTAATCAGAAGCTGGTAAAACAGTGAAGGAGTCATTTCCGACCCTATATATTATATATATTCTTGATCAGCATCAACCGGCAAAGCTTTCTAGGCATGTAGGAAAGAAAGTAAATTTTTTTTTAATTTTATAATAGTTTTAAAATTTAAAAATTAATACAAATTTTTTTACATTTTAAATGGAGTATGCAGATTTGTTAACCAAATTCAAAGTAGTATAAGAAATCTTTCCGAATTAAAATGAATGCTATATTGGGATTGTTATGAGTTTTTTAAATTTAGATTTGCATCAAAATTTTCATATAATAATATATATATAAATTAAAGTATTAAAAAATACATTACATTACGTTAAAACCCCGTTTGCAGTCCTCATCGATAAGTTTATCGAAATCAAAACTAAATTCAAAATCTTGTTTTTTTATTTTTTTTCGTTTATTTTTCTTGTTTTCCTCTTTGTGTTTTGTTTTATTCTTTTTTGCATTTTTTTGTTTTTTTTTTTGTTTGGTTTTTCTTTTTAACGTTAGTAAAATATCCAACAATTATAATTGTAACTAATATTTAAGCCAGAAAAAAATATATAGTAGTCGCAGTTTGCTGTTTTACTTTCATTTTTTTTTCGTTCATTTACAAATAAATAAATAATGTGTCTTGTTGTTATTTTTTATTTCAAATCTTCCATCAATTATAGTGTATATGCTGCAGTGTAGGCGTTTTGTAGGTTTCATCTCTCGTTGTTGTTCCGCTTCATTTCTTTATTTTAATTTTTGTTTCTGCAGAAAACAAGTTGCAGTATGTACACAATATACATATATACTCCCGTTTCGCTGAGTGTAGGAGGAGTCTCTGTATGTCTGTGTGTGTTTGTTTATATATCATTTACATAAATACAATAAATAAATAAATTACATAATATAGTGTATATTATATATGTAGGTATAAAAACAAAAAATAGGCAACAAAAATATATTAATATATATATAGATTTGTATACATAGCATGTATAAGCAGGAAGGGGTAGGGACGTTGGGATGGGTAAAAACGCTCTTGACTTAAGCTTAAAAATATATATATATACGCACAGAGTTAAAAAAGAAAACAAATGAGATATATAGAAATACAATTATTTAAAAAACAGTTTTTTTCGGTTAAGTAGCGCATAAAACATAACATCAACTCTTGCTGTTTCTTCGCTTTCCTTTGCTTTATTTTGAGACTAGTTCTGGGTTTCTATTATAACAATTCTCCCTTTCGTGGACGAAAAAAAAACAATCATTGCAACAAAAACACAAAATTATACAATTTTGAACGAACTGAACGAACGAACGCTGTGGCTCTCCTTGGCAGAATTTCCCTCTAATTGGTTGCTACTCTGGATTTGGTTCTAGTTGGTGTTTCGTCTAAAAGGGAAATTCCCCATGCAGGCTGGATGGTTTTGTTTTTTGGTTGGTGTTTCGGCTAAAACGATAACGATAAATATTTCTTCTTTGTTTTTCTCTTGCTGTCGCCGCATCTGCTTCTCTTCACTTCCTCTTCGATTGTTTCCGTTAATTTGTAATTAGTTTTTAATTTAGTTTAACATTTATCATAAGTACGTTCTCACAATGCAGATTTTATTTTGTTGTTGTCAGCTGTCGCACGTCGCGTCGTTTTTCGGTAACATTTCCTTCCTTCCCTATTTCTCATTTCTCTCATTATCAGTTAATTAATCACTATGTTTTCGGGTTTTTAGTTGTTACTTGTTAATTTTTAGTTTTCTTTTTAGTTGCTAAAAGCCATTTTACTTAGCTAGTTAGTTTTTAGTTTTCTTTTTGTTTATGTTTAGTGTGATTTTTGTGGTGCGATTGCATTGGTTTTTCTTTTCTTTCTTTTTGCTTTGTTTTACTTGTTGCCTTTGAATCGTCTTTAGTTTTTTAAGTATTTTTATTGCATTTACTTTTTTGTTGTTGGGCTTTTTTTATGAAACATTGCAGAAGAAAGACGAATTTCAAATATATATATTTGTGTTTAAAGATAATTTTAGGTATCTCTCCGCTTATGTAGAGTTTAGCATTCTTCTTTTTTGTCGCATTGCCCTTCCATCGTCGCTTAGCTTACGTTACTTTTTGTTGGTTTTCATTTCCTTTTATCGTTTATGTTTTGTTTCTTCTTTTTGCACACAACCACAGGGACAGGCTTTCGGCAAACCAAGGGACAGACTCAGAGCCGCGAGGAGACGTTAAACGGAAGTTATTAGAAGAGATAGTTATAGGGATGGAGAGAGATAGAGAGATAGGGGGCGTGGCATAAATAACACTTAATAATCAGGAGGGAAATACACATTAAATCCTTGCAACGCCTTTGGCTTTATCCCCGCTCGATTTTTTTTGTTTTGCTACTGGTTTGCCGAAAGTTGTTATTGCACAGATTATATGTATCTTTGTTTTGTTGTTTGTCTGTCTGCATGTTTTGTGTATGTTTGTTTTGGGTTCGTTTCTTATGTACATCCAATCTCGTTCATCCGTTCATCGTGGACTTGGCTTCGCTTCCGCCTCCCACTGCTTTTTTTCTGGGTTTCTTTTGTTTTTGTTGTATTTAGTTAGGAGTTAGTTTCTGGTTCTCTTCCTTCTTGTTTTCTCTTATTTCTTGAGTTAATTAAGTAATTTGCTTTTGTATGCAATTCTACGAAGCGATTTTACGAAGAGCCCGCCTGCCAATCCTCCTAGTCCTGCTCCTGCTCCGCTTGTGTTGGTCCTAAGCTCGCATCTGCATCTCATTCAATAATCGTATGCGTCGTATCGCTGCTCCTTGAAGCGAGTGCAAGGCAACCACTTTATCGTGGTTGCCCCTACGCCCAGAATCAGCGAAGACTCCCTCCTGCTTCCGGGCCTTACGCACGCTCGTAGAAAAGTATATAGGCACTGGATGAAACGAGATGGTTTTCGCTCAAGGCATCGCTGACGCTGTAAAGAAGTTGAATGTTATTAAAATTCACAAAATTGTATTGTATTATTAGTTAAAAAGTTAAATAGAAAGCACAAATCATATCTCCTCGTAACTAATACTCACATATTATCATTGAACTCGTGCCACTTGCGGGAGATGGGATGCTTGCACAGGGCCACATAATGACCGCCAGCCGTCGAGCCTACAAGAAACTCAGTTAAGGACTTGATGATAAATGTAAATAAAAGCTGGAAACATACCCATATGATTGGATATCGCATAGAGCGAGTAATGCACATTCGAGTTGGAGTTGGCGCCATAGGAGCCCATGTTGAGCTCGCGATCCGATGTGGGGAACTCAACGATGTTCGACAGCTTGCTCCAGCGCGTCTCCGAGAAGCGTTTAAGGTCTGAATGAAATTTGTATATTATATTTACTATATACAAGCTGTTAGGGATAAATGGTGGCAAACTCACGAATAACGAGATATTTGGGGAAACGCTGTATGGTGAAGCTCTTGGTGCATTTCCGTCGTGTCTTGCATTTGGCGCATGTCGGCATCTCGTCCCCGTCAAGAACCTCCTCGCGTATGAAGAGGTCCAGGCAGGCCTCAAGCTTGCAGCGTGACGAGGAAGGGAGCGGTACGCTCAGATCCCAAAAGGGATCAAATGTAACGCTCGTATTGCCGCAGGTGGTGCACTTCAGGGTGCTCTTTAGCTGCCCCACAAAGAGGTCGCGCACCAGAGAGTTCTCATGCCGCGTATACCATTCCCAGGTCAGGTCCGCCTTCTTATTGTCACTGTCAAGTGGGAATTTCGGATTAGATGGGAAATGCGAATAGAAATATGAGGAGACTGGAGACCCACCTGAGATTATCGTCAATGTTGAGCGTCTCACCCTTGACGCCCGTGTTGAGGGCCGAGTGCAGCGAGTCGAGGAAGAAGCGCAGGAACTCCTGGGCATCCTGCTGATTGTAGTCGCTGTACATGCGGTGCTTCGTGGAGAAGGCACGCTTCAGCTCCATGGGCGTCATTGTATGCACATTCGAGGTCCACATTTCCTGGATGAGTTTGGCAAATTCTATGGCGAAGAGCAACGAAAATTATGAACATATATATATTTTACGAAACCGTTTTTGGGGTCAACCTTACCGTGGAGTATCTGCTGGTCCTTGGTGGAGGACGAGCGGGAGCCGTGCTGCGAGCGCAGGAAGCGCGTCAGCTCTTGGGTGTGGCTCAGGCACTGGATGACAGAGTTCATGAAGCATGTGTTCCCGATGTTTCTCAGCCCGCACAAACCTGTGGATTGACAAGCGGAAAGAGGGCATTGATATTAAAATTACTGACAAGGGGCAGTTTCTAACGTGGGTCACTCCCCAATCTGGAGGCATGCGCCTGTATGCGGTCACGCTCGCGATTAACCACAGGCATTCGGTTCAGCTTCAATTCCGTTTGATCCTCGGCCTGAATCTCAAGTTCCTACTCCCTGTTCTTCTTATTATACTATGATTCCTTAACAATCACGTGGGTATGTGTGTCGTGTGGTTTATAAGTAACTTTCATGGGGAATTTCAACTGATTACTGGGGAAAAGGTTGTGTGTGTGCCACATAGTCAGGTCAACCAACAACCTAACTGCCTAGGGGAAACCCCTATGCCTCCTTAAGGAACTTATCAATCGTACGCACCTTCTGACTTCTCATCTCTAGACGAGGAGGCGTTCTTATAGCCATCATCCGAGTTGTGCTTCAGCGACGACGAGGTAAGGGTGGAAGTGGAGCCGCTGCTACGGCTAGTGCCGCTCTCACGATCCCGATCCCAGTAACGACTCGACGTCGGTGTCATGGGCGGCAAGACGCTCCGGGCACTGCTGCCAGTAGTGCCGCTCCTCGCCTGCGTCTGTGTGGGAGGGTTAGAGTATCACAAGTTATATATTAGTTAAAAAATGTAGTCCTTTTATAAAGGGGAGCCACGGAACTCAATTGGCCTTCAAGCGACAAGGTTTTAGTGATGGGAATTCTCTTTTTAGGGTAGTTTTAATTAGGTTTCTTCTAGTAAATATGTTTTGGTTCATCTTTTACGAGATTTAACAACAGATTTTAGTCATTAGGTAAGTTAATTAACTGAGCTGGGTACAAATGTGTGAAGTCCAGACTAATCTTTACTTGGAAAACTTTGAAAAACCAAAGTTGTCTTTAAATTCTTTTAAATTTCAAGTACAGTTTCGTTTTATCCCTACTTTCCCATCACTAAGTAACCTCCTCAAGCAGGCCTATCGAATTCGCGGCGATTATTAATCGATCGTTAAATAGGGTTAATTTAATAAAACCGAAGCAACTAGCAATCGAGCAGTTAGAGATTAAGGAAGAAACCCATAAGTCCAAGATTAGTGTGTGTTGTGTGTGTTAATGCGAATGGAGAGTGAGTGCGTAGCATGCAAAGGATAAAACCAGGCTTAAAATAGTGATAGTTAAATTATATCGAACGATAGGCAGCGATAGTGTGTCAGTGTGAATCAATGAATTCAAAATGAGAACGCAAAGCGTGATAGAGAAAGATAATGGAAATGCAAATATATACTTTTTGTAGCTACAATAATTGTGTTCAGATCAGAAATGCTTGCTCTTGCCACAAGTCGAATATATATAAATATATATATAGAGAACATATATAAGAAGTTGAAGAAAACGGAATGGAGAGAGAGTATAAAGTAAACTAAACTGAACTGATATTATCGGTGACCTGGCGAAGGACCGACTTACACTATCGCTGGCGGAGCTAGAGGCTGTAGCTGTTACTGTACTTGTGGCTGTGGAGACGGAAGACGTGGCTGGTGTGGTGGCATTATTGGGTGTTGCTGATACTGCTGTTGTTGTTGTTGGTGTTGTTCCTAGCCCAGCTGCATCGCTGTTTACCTGTGTGGCAGTCACGGCACTCACTGCCTGGCGGCTGGCTTGCACTCCTGCTCCTGTTTCCATACCCATTCCCGTTGTCGCACTAACACTATTCATGGTGGCCGTGGTCCGGTAGGCGGCTCTGGTCAGGGAACTACTATAGCCCGCTGCTGCCGCCACTCGTATGTTGTCCAGGTCGCTGCTGTAGCGCTGCTGTAGGTTGCCGCTGCTCCCGCCAGCGGCCTGCTGTTGCTGCTGCTGGTGCTGGTGCTGGTGCTGGTGCGATGTATGATTGCTTCGTCCTCCAGAGGCAGCGACCGCAGCTGTCCCACCTGTCCCACTCCCGGTGGCCAACATAGCTGTGGTCGTGGTTGTGGGTCTCTTCTGGATACTAAGATTGTTAAATTTCTCAATGGAAGCCTTAATGCTCAGCGAATCGATTCCATAACGACGAGCATTGCCACCGGCAGCTGACCGGCTCTCTGTGGCGCCAGTAACCTCGCCGGCGCCTCCTCCTCCACCATTGGTCTGACGATGATAGCCACTGCTGAACTTCTCAAAGTTGGCCGCAAAGTTCGAGTGAGCGGAGGCTATAATGGTGGACTTGGGTCGGGCATAGCGATGGCTGCTGTTTGCTCCACCACTGCCAGATTGCTTTTGCTCCTGCTGCTGTTGATTGCGATGTCGCAGCTGCAGCGGTGGAGTTATTGGCTTGAAGTAGCATATGTTGGCCTTGGTGGCCGCTGCTCCCGCCCCTCCAGCTCCTCCTGCCCCTCCATTGGCTGTCGGCTCGTCGCTGTCTATATAGGTAATGTCATCGTGTTGCTGCTGGCGTTGCATCATGTTGTTATTCCCGCTGTTGCTGCTGCTGTTGGCGGCGGTGGTGGTGCTGCTTCCGTTGTTATTATTATTGGTATGATGATGTCCATTCATCATCGCTGCTCCTGCTGCTGCGGCGGCCGTGTTGTTGTTCGCGTTAATCGGCTTCAGCTTGCCATAGACCTTTGACGAGGTACCGGAACGGGTACTATACTTGTGGAGCACCCCGTTCGTGTTGGTTTGGTGGCCAGCGGTGATCCTGTTGCTGTTGCTGTTGCTATTGATGGTGGTGCTCAGGTTATGGCTCTGACTATGGTTATGGATCTGGCTCTGGCTCGTGCTGGTGCTGATCTGCTGATTGCCATTGAACATGGGCCCCCGTCGCATATCACTGAGGGATTTGCCCTTCTGCCGTTGCCGCTGTTGTTGCTATTCGAATTATTATTGTTATTTCTGGTATCTTCACCGGCCCGTATGCGATTGCCTTTTGCTTTGCTGGCCGTGGTTGTGGTCGTGGTCGTCACCTGGGCGTGGGCCAACTCGCATTCGGCCTTGAGAAATGTTGGATCCTTGTAGCTGGATACCAGAAAGTAACGCTGATTAGCAGCCCGCACCGGATTACTGCTGGAAGTAGTGGTAGTGGTGGTGGTGGTGGTGGTGGTGGTGTTGCTAGCGCCGCCTTGCCCTCCGGCCAGTGTCGAACGGACCTGTGTGGCTGGAGTTACTCCTCCGTTGCCGTACTTAATAGACGCCAGGGCGGCGTGCGTCCTGCTCGAAACCACCGAGGGCACGTTGGCTCCTCCTGCTGCTTGCCTACCGTGGGCCTGGGTCTGGCTCTGGTTCTGGTTGTGGTTCTTTGAACGTTGGTTCTGGCTGGTTCCCCTGCCCGATGTTGTTGCTCCGGCTGCACCTTTAGTACCTGCTGCTGCTGCTGCTGCTGCTGTTGCCGTTGCTGCTGCTGTTGTGGCCTCTGCTGCTGAGGATGGTACTACTACTGCTCCCGTTGATGGCTGCAATTTGGATGGCTGTGGAATCTTTTGGAATCCTCTGGTCTTCTTAATGTCTAACATCATTCGACGGGCGTTCGCTCGTTGCTCGATACTCGTTCCTTGCACCTGCCGTTGTTACTCTTTTCTTTCTGTTGCTTTTTGGAAGGGTGGACGAGATGTTGTGTTGTGTTAGTTGTTTAATTATTGCTCGACGCCTGTCACGTTCAAACGTCAGTCGTCAAACGATGACAATGTTGCCCCAAGCTACTTGATGTTTCAGCTTTTGTTGATTCTGCTTTTGCTCCTAAAACTGCTGCTTCTGCTTCTGCTTCAGCTGCTCTCCTGTTCCTGCTCCTGACTAAGAAAAGCCTCTTCCTATTTACCACACACTAAAGCAATTATGGTTTTTCTGGATGATTTCTGTATGATTTTTGTTTTCTTTTTTTGTTTTGGGGAATGTTTTAGGAGGATTAGAGTTAGTCTGGCCTTATTATTAGTTTTGTTCGAGTGGCGTTTAGTTGGACTTTGGACTTGGCTTTGGTTTAGGCTTGACGCGTTTTGCTTTGAATTTGTTTTGAGTTTAGCGGTTTCTTGTTAACTTTTTCGTTTGGTTAAAGTTAGAACAGGGCGCAATCACTGCAAGAGTTTAGCTAAAAATACATAAAAATGTTGAAAGTTGATTAAATGATCGGCTTTTTCGGGGGTCTCTTTTAGCTGTGTTAGGATGACAATGCGTTTGGATAGAACAGAATAGGGGTTAGGGGTTTGGGATTCTCTTTTTTTTGGGGGAGAGGTCAGGGTCTGGGTCTGGGTCTGGGTCTCTGGGGGTCTGGGTCTGGCTTGGCACACACACATACACACACAGAATATATAACTGAAACTCAGGAGGTCAGTGGTCCTTGTCTTGGCATGCAATTAGTTTTGGTTTTGGTTTTGGTTTCGCTTCGCTTGGCTCGTTCCTTGCTGTTACCTTGCTGTCGGCGGATGAGGATGATAGCTTAAATGTGGCCGTGGTGCTCACATCTCCATTGTCCACCTCCGCCTGGGCATCGCTGCCATTGTCATTGCCATTGCCATTGCCGCTGCTGGAGCAGAGATTCCAGCATCATCGGTTGTATCCTGGTTCCTTAGATTGCTCCCACTCCGGCTCTCATAGATGGCATTCCGCTTCGGCGAAGTGGAGAGCAGCGATAGGCCATTTAGCTTTGCCTCCAGTCCACCGCCATTGGTCTCTCCTCTCTCCCCAACGATTTGTGACCATTGGTTGAGGCTGGAGGCGGCGGCGGCGGCGGCGGAGGAGGAGGTGGTGGTGTGGCCGTAAGTGTAGCTGTGGCTGCTGCTGTTGCCTTGGCTGTGACATCCTCCGCCTGACTGCGACGCGTCCGACTGCTGCGTAGTGTAAAGGTGGCTGTGGGCACATCCCCACTGCTGTTGCTATTGTTTATCGAATACCTGCTGCCGCTACTGCTCCGGGAGGTCGTCCCTGTGCCCGTGCCCGTTCCAAGTCTTCCAGAGCTGGTCGTGACCTCACCGCCCGCATCACTGCTGTTGCTGTAGAGGCGACTATACCGGCTGCTACGCGGCCGATCCAGTGTCACCGTCTCGGTGGGTGTAGCACTGCCGCCGCCACTTCCATTCTCCAGCTCCTGCTCAGCATGCCCCGACCTGGAACGTGACAGTTCACAGTTGGGTTTATAGTTGGCCGGACTGTACTTTTCGTACATATCCAGTCCGGAGGTGGCCACCAGGCGGGCCAGCGATGGGGATGAAGATGAACTGGACAACCGGCTGCCAGATGATGATGATGAAGATAGCTTGCCGCCGCCATGGCCATTGGTCTCCGTGTGATTACTGGAGGAGTTACTTCCTCCAGCGCCGCCGCCGCTTATCGGCGGCTTCTTGGCGGTGGAGGAGACGGAGTCCGCTATACTTCGCCGGCTGACATAGTCATCCCTCTTGGCCGCCGATCCGCTCAAGCTATCGCCATTCGAGGTGATCTTTGATGATGTTTGCGCGGTAACTTTTTTTCGATCGTTGGGAATTCGATTTTGGTTTTGGTTTTCGGTGTTTGTATTATATATATTTTGTTTATATATATATTTGTTTTTATTTTGCGAAACATTTACAGGTGACAAATGAGCGGAAACATTTGTGGTGAAGAAGAGTAACGGTAACGGTAACGATAAACGGCAACGGGTTTCAACATGTTTCGTGTTCACGTTTCAAATGTTTCAAAAAATATCGATAATTAACAAAACAAAATATGTAAAGAAAAGAAACATCAATGATGAGAGAGTTTAATGACTGGAAATTTGTACACAAATAATGAACAGTAAATGATATATATATATATAAATAAGATGAATAATGGCAAATGAGGGTCCACATGAATTGCAAAATAATCGAAAAGGCGATGACCCTCACACCTAATAAGCTTTGTTTTCTTGCATTTGTTTTATTAATTAAAACTGTAAAAACTAAAGATTTCTGTCCCTTTTTGATCATGAATTATTTAAGTCTGCACGGGATAAATTCAAATCACTTCCATGATGTCATTATAAAATGATGCTGCTTAATCTTATGATAATTTACACGTTAATCGCAATGGCAATATAAAAATTAATTTCAAAAACGACCTCGTTTTCAATGCGCCTAGTCTGCGGTAAATGGTGCGTCTGAAAATAGTAATTAGCGCGAAATGTGTCGCCTACAGAACTTTCCGTACATACTATTGTCTGTGTCAACCAAACAAAAGTGAGAAAAATAAAAGGAAAATCGGACCCGACCCACCTACATAATGTAGATGTTGTTAATGCCAGATGTTAACCGAAAGTTATGACGAAAAAGATAAATAACAAAAAAAGAAAAGAGTGTGAAATGTCAAGGGACGCACCTACTGATTGTTTCGATTGTTTTTTATTTCTTTCCACCCTCGAAAATAAATAAATAAACTCCACATGTGGTGTTCTCTTGGGCACACACACAAAATACACACACGCACACACACCGGCCAAAGTCAGACAGGGACAGAGCTATGGCATTAACCTTATGCGAATTTCTCGCGGGGAAGGCGGCGGAAAAGGGTAAGAGAATGACACAATTGTTGCTGTTGTTGGAGGTGTGTTGGCCTTTTGTTGCTTATAACGTGAATTCCCGTTGCCTCAGTCGCTTCTAGTTGTAGTTGCTGCTTTGTTGTTGGATCTGTGCCAACAAGTGGTTCGCGTTCGGTTCAGTTCAGCTCAATAGTCATACACACACACAGTCCACACACACACACACGCATTCCATTCCTGGGCCTCTGACTCTGACTGTGACTGTGCCTGGGCAATGACGCATCCGACTATGTTTGTGTACAACGAAATGGTTCGTCACAGGAATCGCTATCAGTAGGGAAACCCCTCTTTATCCCTCTTTGCAATCTGTGTGGGTCCTGTATTTTTTATTGCGTGTTTTGGTAGAAACTCTGTAAAAAAAACTAGTGTTTTAGCATGGTTCAGTAAGGAAACGTTAATTATTCTATTCAGCGCTTCGAAAATTATATTCAGCTCGTAATACAACCTATTCAGCGCTTCAATATTATATTCAGCTCGACAAAGATTATATTCAGCTCGTAATACAACCTATTCAGCGCTTCAAAAATTATATTCAGCTCGTAATTTATCCTATTTAGCGCTTCAAATATTATATTCAGCACGTAAAATTCTCAAACTATGAAACAAAGCTCTTCCAGGGAAGTCTTTCCATAACATCTTAGTAAAAAGTAACCCTTTCAAAGTTGTTATACTGAGAGATCACTGTGCATCGGTATCCGTTATCGGAGGCACAAAATGCCGCATTGTCCGTCCGTCCGTTCGTCGTGTTTGTCTTTGTGGGCATTCTATTTGCTATTGCCTAATGCGTGAATATTTGCATTTGTTTGAGTCGAACTGTGTGTGTGGGTGAGTGTGTGTTGGGTGTGCGTGAGTGAGTGGGTGTTGTTTTGCTGGTACGTTGTTGCAATGGCAAAATACAACACAAACAATACACAAAACGAAATAATCAGCAAAAGAATAAATAAAGAAAAAATACGGGAACTAAACTAAACTAATCACTAAATAGGGGGAGGCTGGGAAGGATCACCACAAATCGGGGCGTGGTGAATATGAAAACCATGACCATGAGTGTATCGGTAATCTGTTCTTGGCTTTTTACTTGGAAACGAAGGGCAGGTCACCTACAAGCGCGGTTGCCAACCTTTCTGTTTTGTTGTATGCATATATAAAAGCAGACACGACTACAGATCATATTTGAGATATAGGATGCTATATGAAAGGCTATGACAAGGAATTAATCGCTGAATCTATTTGAATATACAAAACATATGGGTTTTACCATGTCTTTAAAAGCAGAAGTCTTGAATTTTATACTATTAAACTATTATTCTATATTATTTTATAGTATCTGTTCATCTTAAAGCATTTTTGATATACAATTTACTATTAGCAAACTCTAAATCTTCAGGTTATAAATTACATATTATTAACTCCACATTAACTCTATCTATCAAAATATGCTGGCTATGCTATTGTTTAGACTATATTTCTAACGCTAATTAAGGCTTCCCACTAGATGCCATCACAATTATTATTAATCCCTTTCGATGACTTGATGATTTTCACAGAACGCATGAAATGATCAGATTTTACGGGAGGGAGAGGACAATTTGTGGGAGGGTGAGTAGAGTTATACCAAGAACCCAGCATACAGGATATAATACTTAATCATAATGGAGGAGAGACAGAGAGATAGAGACATGACTCAGAACCGTGAGAGATCAGCCACCAATCGAACATACGAACATACATAACTAAAAGAGTAAAATCTCGAATAATTCAGGATGTTCGGTTTCGGTTCGCCTTGGATTCCCCATAGGAACTCCAAGGACTTTTCAAATCAAATCAAAGTAAAGCTTAATGGGTTCGCTATAGTTAGGAGACAGGGAATTAAGATAGGATCAAAAACTCACTCCGATCGGCTGTACGTAGGTGAATCATAACTGGAGCCGCTCAGATACGACGAAGAGCTGGTTGTGCGGTAGGCGGACGCTGTGGATCCGGAACCACGCTCAGATACGACGACGACGATGTTGATCCTACGCTGCTCCTTTGCAGGCTGCTGCGCGGCACATACGATGATCCTGAGTTGAATGGCTTGCAGAGGAGGAGTACGCCGAATATGAGCTGGGTAATAGCTGCTACCGTACCGGACGTGGACGTGGATGAGGAGAGCCACCGGACGTGGGCAGCCACTTGGAGAGGCTGCTGCCGCGATCGTAGCTGCCCGAGTACCGCGAATATCCGTTCGTGGTGGCCCCGACGCTGGACCGATCCACCGCGCTACGCTAGCTGAGCCGGTGGCTGAGCCGCTGCCGCCGGACGACGACGACGATGTGCCGTAGAGACTGCCGGTGCCCGCCGCTGACGTTGACGATCTACGCGGCGCGATTACACCATATTAGTGGCAGCAGCAGCAGCAGCAGTGACCTAGTCCCGGATTTAATCAGGATGAATGTCCAGCCGAGCGTTGTTTGATGATTTTTTTTTTTATTAATTAATGCACGTCCTTCCGTTTGTCCTTTCTTAATTCCTTTCCGTTGCCTCCTCAATGTTTGTCTGATGCTTTCTAGGTAAAGATTTCGAATACTTTGAAATGCTTGACTGGAAATTGATTTCAGCTTACCTGTCTCCTCCTGTATTTCTTATTTACATTTATCCAAGCATTATCTTCTAGTTTTAGTTTAAATTTAAACTTAATTGCTTCTTATGTGCTACATCTAAGACCCGTTGTTGTTCCTGCTGAAGTAGTAGGCAAATATCTAAAAGAAAAAAGCATATGCCAGGTATAAATATCATACGTAGTTAGATAGTTTAAAATGGATCGGAACAGTCATTTCTATATTGTAAAAACTGTTAAATATTGTATTATATAAAATTTTGTAACTTTGTGTTTTATTTTTCAGCTTTTGTTTTTTTTATGTATTTCTGATCAATTCTTTTTTCCAGTGAAAAATTCAACATTTTCCGTTGCTTAAATGCCATTGCCTCGCGCATACCGTTATTCAGCGTGTTTACTATTATGTTTTTCGGTTTGAAGAGTATTCAAGGCTGTCGAGTTGAAGGTTTCTTTTCTCTCTCCATAGAATTCGAAGGGATGCCAAGGATAACTGTTTTTCAAGGGAACTCGTCTGCACTTCCATGACCCCCGCCTCCGCCTATGCTCGATTGATTTTTCACAAACACACACACTCACACATAGTAATCAATTAATTAAGCGATGAAACAACAAGAGGAATTTCAGCTACGTTATTTGCCTTTTTTTTGCTGCTGCATCTCTGCCGTTTCGGCCTTCGGGCTGTCCAACGGTTTTTCCCAATTGGAATAATAAACAGTTAGGCGGAGAATAGAAACCGATCAGCTGCGTCACTTGTTACAATTGCAAAATAACAATACAAAAAAAGAGAAAAACTGCATGCTCGTCATAACAACAATTACGTAGGGCGAGAGGGCAGAGTGGGAGGTGATGGGTGGCTGCTGGCTGCCTTATGCGTAACACTAAAAATGAGTTACGGCTGAGCGTTCGTGTGTGTGTGTGTGTGTGCCGCCAGGCATCTACGTTCCCGTACGAGGAAACCGTTGCTTTTCCAGCACATGTATGGGTGTTCCTTGGTTGGCAAAGGAAGGGGGGCTGTCGAACAGCGCTTAACTATTATAAACGGCCACACTATCAATCGATCTTTCGTCATAAAATACTACAACTACAACCATTCACACGCACGCACACACCCACACAAAAGCAGCACCAGCACACCAGCGTAACCATGGGCAGCACACCACACGCACTTGCAATTGCCTTTTCGACAACAATAAATGAAATTCTTCAAGTTCACACACAGACACCAGTGCACCTGAACTTTTCCACGGTTACCACTTTTAATCGCTTTCTTTGGATAAAAAAAAAGTATAGATATATGTGTCTTTTCACTGCCAAAGCGGAACGTCAAAAATCGAAATAATTATGATAAAAGCAACAACAAAATATAAAACGAAACGAAATGAATTCTATTTATAAAGGCGCACACACACACATACACACGCGCGAAAATATTGTGTGTTGGTTTGACAGTGAAATGGGAATGAGAGGGGAACGCTGTGGCGGCAGGGAGTAAGGGATGGCAGTAGTAAAATCTGCGATGAGCATATGCGTGCAGGCGAGATAGCAATATTGGCGACACAGTCACAGTCACACACACTCACACCACGGCCACACGGCCACGAGCTCTCTCTCACACACACACTCTGCCAGACGGCAGGCAACGTACGAATTACGCAAAGTGAAATATCTTTCTCAAAATGGAAAGTGGAAAAGTGATTTAAAAAAAAGTTTATACCAAAATAGGAGCGAGAGAGAGCGCGGCTATGGGTGCACAGGGAGAGGAGAGCGGGCAATTGGGGAAAATTTGACCGCAAAACGAACATCACGACGCGAACGAGGTCGCGCGGCCGCAAAAAAAAATAGAGTTTCTTCTTGATCTAACGAAATATTGCAACGCGAGCCTACCGTCTCACTTGTTTTACATCGAAAAACTATAATTTTCGGCTGATTTTAAGCAATTTTCAACACAGCACAGAACTCACTTTGCAATCTGATTTTTTTTTATTTTGGCCGGTGTGACCGCGCTGCACTAATGTCAGAACGACAAAACAAAATACCAAGTGCTATTTTCAGCTGCCTATCGATACTAATCGATAGATATTTGGTATATTCTGTCACTCGCTCCCAGTATATACATAGTTGGTGGTATATTTCGACGGTCATATTACGGTCACACTGTATACATTTTCAGTGAAAATTCTTGAGGAAGAAATTCTATTGAAAATTCGTAAAACAATAACTTTGTTCCGTATCGCCGATCAAACAGTCTTGCCGCACAGCCACGCGAATCGCGTATATCACAAAAGCAGGTGTTATCAATTGTCGCGCGGACTAGCAGAAGCAGCAGTTGCAAATTTCGTTCTTGGCCGCCGCAACTGCAATTGTCGCGTCGCATTACGTTTCCAGTGTTGCCACCAACTTTTCCGGGTTGAGGCGCCGCCGGGAACATTTTGGTAGCCAAGCCGGACGCGTTGCGGCCGGGGGATAATGTCCATGCCGCTGGGTCTGTGATTTGTTATATATCGAGCTCCATCTACCCAACTGGAGGATACACATTACCGTCTTGCGTATATTATTTGGTCGGAAAACGGCCGAGCTGGCAACACTGCGAGGGGAACAAAATGAAGTGACAGAGAGCGAAAAAAAGCTAAAGAAAACCTAAGAAAAGCTGCAGAATAGTGAGGGGGGAAAAGTGCAAATGCAAGGCGCTAGCGAAGATCTCTGTTACCACCCGTTCCATGAGGCGCAGCAGATAGGCTTGTGGTTGAGTTTTCCGCTGTTCTGAGTGGTCGTCATTATCAATCATTATCATCGTCATTATAATCATCATCGGTCATCGTCATTAGCCAGCCGTCAGCCAGCCAGCCAGCCTTGAGGTGACTCTGCCGCATTAGCTTCCTCTCGATCTCGATCTCTTGGAATTCCATCGCACACCCACACAGTTCAGGTGGGTTTTCCGTGGCTCCAGCTTCTCCAGATCTTTAACCACTTGAACCCATCCTCTGCAGTCATGTCATCGACCGCCGGCAAGCGCAAGGAGATCTACAAATATCTCGCACCATGGCCGCTGTACTCCATGAACTGGAGCGTCCGGCCGGACAAACGTTTCCGGCTCGCCCTGGGCAGCTTCATTGAGGAGTACAACAACAAGGTGCAGATCATCAGCCTGGACGAGGACACCAGCG